TGCCGCCTTACAGGCCTCATCTAGTCCTATCTGCTCTTGTTACTAGGGAGAACTAGTTATTTTATAGTTAATTAGACCTTAATCTTGCGTCTCTAGGGACCTATAGTCTTAGCTGTTTTGACTGGAGTACGGCGTACTTTAATCGAATCGTACTACTCGTACAGATCACGTGAGCCGTAACAGTTACGATACGTACACCTACCTCTCCTCCTCCCTATCGTACGAACGTACACAAAATCTCACCCGTACAGGCCTCAAAATCGCCCAATCGTACAGTACTACGCCTCGTTGGAAGCCCTGATAATCACACCAACAACAAGCAGCGCGATGACTTTAACCGAGTCCCATGGGAAGATAGCTCCCCCGAAATCGAGGGCGAGGAGTACCATCAATGTAAACCCTAGAAATGTGAATATCCCAATCCAATCGATGGCCTTTATTCCGTCTATAAAAGATGTGTGCTCGTGTTTGATATCGAGGAAGAGCAGAATCAGGGCGAATGTAAGCCCGATGATGGGCAGATTGATGTAGACTTTAAGGTAAGCAGATTGTGAACTACGAAGGCTAGGGCAAGACTCACAACACCACCTCCATGATACAAGTGAGGCGAAGACACCTCCTAATACTGGACCCACACCTCCAGCTAAAGCCCATATCCCCTCGGTGAGCCCCATGAGAAGGCTCCGTTGTCTGTGCACAAAGGTGAGAACTTAGAGCAAACCAGAGAGGTGGAAAACAGCCTTACCGTAAGCTAAACAGATCACTAATGCATACATGGACAAGTAGAATGAGCCCTCCTCCCGCAGCTCCTTGAAATGCCCTTCCAACAATGAGGGCATACATTGTCTTCGAAGTAGCACAAATCGCAGAAGATGCAAAGAAGCATGTCAATGCAAGCAAGACAATTAGTTTTCTCCCCCAAATGTCAGAGAGTTTTGCCCAAATGGGACTCGAAGCCGCGTTCGCCAAGAGATATGCACCTGAAATCCAAGTATACCCCGCTGCGGACGAGAGATCACGCGAAATGGTAGGAGCAGCTGTTGCGACGATTGTTGCGTCTAATGCTGCCACGAATTCTGATACCTAGATGGTGGTCGGCATTGGGTGCAAGAATGTAGCAGTGTGAAGGCTGCATCCCGGACTTTGCTTACGAAAAGGGCGAGAACGATAGCCGAGAGGCGCCATTTACCTCTCCTTCTAACCCCGCTCGCATTTATGGACGGTTCTCCTTCGTCTTCAATTTCAACATTCGTGGTACCCCTGGCAGTCAAATGAGCCCCAACAATGCCCCACCCAAGAGTAGTTGGGCCGGCTAATTCGATATCGCAGTCCATTGTGGCAAACTGGAAGTGAACGACCAGGAGAACAGAATAATTAAAGTTTACAAGAACAAGAAAAAGGCTGGGTAAGGAGATTAGTAGATGCCATGATCTAGCGCACCCTGCCATGGAGTAGAATACATAGGATGCTTGACTCATCTGACTTGCAGCTCTAGCGGAGAGCCAAGAACTTAGGTCTAGCTCCAGGGAGAGGTGCTAATTGGATAAGACGACGGCATTCCTCAGCTTCCCATTGAGGAAAGGATGCGGAATGATTGGTAGGAAGGGAACACCATCTTAAAGATTTGTCGCCTTTACTCATAAACCCCAACCGGTAGTGTACAGATTTTGTCTAGTGTATAATACAAGTACAGCACAAAAGTGTGAGGAGAGTGAAGAACGCCGACCGTTGCCGTGTCCGACGAACGGGATATGCATTCTATGCCAAAAGACTCCATGACCCAAAACAAATTCGCAGAAAATATAGTTGCATAGAATACACCGCCATTCATCGTATTAAGTCGATTATGCCAACATTGTCTGTCCTCCCACCCCTGGTGGGCCACCTTGTTGCTGTGGGGGCATTGGCGGAGCCTCTAACCGAGTATTTTCGGCCATCATCCTCTGGAATCCGATGCCCACGCCTTCGATAACGGCGAGTAGTATTGCGCATCCAATAGCTCCATTGCGCGATGCTCGGAAGCCTCCTCTTATTGCCAGAGATCCGCCGGTGAAGAAACCTGCGATGATGGCATTCCACGGATCCTCCTTCTTCCGTATGCCTTTTACAGCGCAATCAAATGTGCTGAAGAGGCCGCCCCAGACACCGAAGTTTCCGCCGAGAACGGGAGCGCGGGCTTTAATCGCCGTGAGGGCACCGATGCGTCGTTCACCATATGGTGAGTTTCGGTACTGCAAGGAAGAAGTGTGAGAGAGGTCAAGAGATCAGGAGTTAGAGCTGCCTACGCCTTTGACGCCGTGCCATAAAGCACCACCCACAGCCTGAAGTCTGACGTTAGTTTGGCTCGAAAAGTGCACTCATCAGGCGACTTACACCCATGGCGAAAGCACCTCCAAAGTCACTCAATGCCACCCAGGGACACGGGTCGCGAGTATGATCCATTGTGTGTAGAGGAGTGAGATATTAGAGGAAGGGATACGATAAGGGCGACTAGTGAGGCGTCACGAAGGTGCGATGGTACGTAAATTCGTGAATTCGGTGACGCTCGACTTTTTTCGACATCCTGGTTTCCGCAGTCTTGGCACTATGTTGAGCACGTGATCTCGGATCTCGGGATCCTCCGAAAGCTCTATATATCATCTCTGACATCAATAGCAAATCCATGTCACTATTCATCGTAATTCAAGTTTTACGCCCCAGTTTTATTGATAGTTGCGTATTACGCCTGGAGTTTCTACCACCTGCTCTGAGGTTCAATGTCTAGATTTGAAAGCGAATAAAACTGAGGTCTCGATCGGTTGAACAAAGAACGTGCAGCAAAGCTGCAGCTTCCCACAGAGTGTTTTGGCCATCCCTCTGGTTGGCCAACTTGGTTTACGTTTATCTCAGTCTGATCCTTCCGGAAAGCGCATCTGTCTGACTTGATAAAGCAAAAGGGAAGCAATTGTGGTCAAAGCTGCAACTTCCGTCAGCATAAGTTGCGTTCAGCCTCCTTACCCTTAAAGCTGGGCTAAGTTATGGACTCCCAGAGTTGTATCCCTCCTGATTTGGCGGATTTTAGAAGTTCTAGGAATTGATTAGCATCTGTTCCCAAATTGCGGTGAAGGAAACATTCACCCAGAGATAATCAAATCCATTAGCGAAGAACATCCTCTAAAGATTGATGACTGGTTGGAACTTACTTCCTCGCCCACAGCTGGAAGATTCTTTGCTTAAGCTGTAGATTCTTTTCTCTGAAGGGTCCTGTCTTGCGCTAACGTTGTCTCCTGGCTGAGCAATGTCGCTCGACCTGTGTTTGGCAGAGATTGGTCAACTTTGAGCACACATATCACGGCGAGTCTGCCACATACCCTTCCTTGATGAGCAGCAATTCCCTCTTCAAAATAGGGCAGAGAGTTTGGATTCTTTATCTATCCTCGAATGTCTCAACCGCTGTGTTGGCATGCCTTTCGCTCTTTGGTTGTTGGGAGATGGAAATCGAATACCCAGTTTGAGCGATGGACTCCAATATAAATACTTGAGAAGGTTTTTACACAGAGGATGCATTGAGGCGGCATTGGACAGGATTCTTTTGTTCACGTTTTGCTGCCGTTGGCCTTGAGGGCTCCTAACGGCCTAGCCACTAGTATCATACTGTGGTACCCGGCTAAAGTATTGTAGCATTGCATCTTGGCTTTCGAACAAAACTTGACGCTGTTGACACTTCTACACATTGAGAAGCGAGATGGATGCAGCACACTTGCTTCAAGACTCGCCATGCAGCTTGCGTTGCGAAATGCAGGCGGAGAAGCAGCGTAAGTCTTTCAGCACCCTTTTTGCCTGCTTATCTCCTATTCCTTAGATAGGGAAGCATGCCATCCTGATATGGACCACACACTCACTCGATTGGCTTGACTTCCTGTCAGAAATATGGGGGGCGCCTCTTGTTCGCGAGGACGGTTTCAAGAACGGCCGCGGACGTGTTATTTCGTGACAACAGCTGGCCACTAATCGTCACGAACCTTTTGGTGAAGATGCGACGTAACTGCAGTCGATATTAGTGGAACGTCTGCGCAATGCAGGCGATAGAGGTGTGGCTGAGATTTCAAACATTTCGCAGGCCAAACTGGGTGAGAATCACCACCCAGGAGAGGGACTTGGCGTGACTAGTCTCCAACCCTCACTCTGCGCCCCTCCTTGGTCCGATTGCCACCCAGCCCTCTTATATATATATATCTATTAGTTTCACAGACCTAAACCCACATCGGTGACTCATCCGCTCCCTTGAGGCTACATCAGCGTGCAGCCAACTTCGTGCTAGAGAGGAAATCCCTCTACTATTGTGATGGGGGACGGAACTACGGCAGCACAGCCTCTACTACTACTGCTATCTAGGTGAGATCAACGTATTCTCAGCCTCTTTTCTGTTTGATTTTACAGCTTGCTATATTCTCCGTCTGATGACCAGAGGGTCGCTAACTATTCGTCCTATTTGGGTCTTTCACTCGGTGCTCCACTGACGAACTATACAGATGTGTTTACCACTCCCAATACTCGCTGGAATGGCCTTGACGCAACTGCCTGCTCACCATCAAAGTGTACGCCTCGCTTCTTAATCGTTACCTTCACCCCGGGTTTCGCGGAGGGGTTTAACCTCGCGCCTTCGACATCAACCGTCTCTTCCTGACGGCTCCTTTGTTCTCTCGTTTGTCGTCTTGAGGAACGTTGGATCTCCACAAAACCTTGAATCCCTTAGAGATCTAGTGTAGACCTCGAAGCACCATGGGAAGTACGGCGAGGACCTCAGCTCGAAAGGGAACCTTACGGGCGTCAGAAGCAATTGCCCATCCGAGCTCAAGGTCTACCGTGGCCGATGAGACCATGAACGTCGTTAAGGCTCGAGGCCAATGTGGTACCCCGGCCGGAACGCAGAGTATTACTAATCGTAGTGATGTATCCCGGCTCAGCGAGAGTTTGGGGTCTCTGAACCAGGGAACTGGTGATGGTAAGTGAAGCGATGCCTATCAATTGCTTTCAAATGGTGCTTTGAACGGTAGCTAATACTATCTTCTACAGGTCTCCACGGGGCATCTAGCGAAACCATCGGTTGCGAGATTGAACCCCTCGGCGAAGGCGTCAAGGACCTTATGACAACAATGAGTGAGCTAGAGAAGCTTGGATTGTCAAGCCTCGATATTCCGCTGGCAAAGTGCATCATTTGTGGTGAGTTGACAGCAACTGATCACAATCTACTTCTATACTAACGATTCTGCTTTAGGTGATCAGTCCGCCGGAAAATCATCAGTCATTGAAGCCATATCTGGTATAAAGGTTCCGCGTGCCGGAGGAACATGCACCCGCTGCCCAATGTTCATCCAGCTGCAAAGCTCTGCGGGTGCCGAGGCCCAATGGGAAGCTAAAGTATACATTAGGAAGGCCTACACTTACTTGATCCCAAAAATTATCAACCCTAGACTACGAGAACAAGCACGGCAGGAGAGGTATTACCCTTGGCAGCAGAAATTTTCCCCGGATGAAGTGCTCTTTGCCCAAACCACGAACTCGGACAATCTCGAGGTGCTCATCTACCGTGCCCAACTTGCGATTCTCAACCCGACGGCAGATCTCACGCGATTTGTTCCCGGAACTGCGAGAGAGATCCTCAGTGATGACAGGGAGACTGAGTTCTCACCTAACGTCGTTTGTGTCTATATCTCGGCCCCCAAAGCACCGAATCTCTCGTTCTATGATCTACCAGGGATCATCATTGGACGGGGTGATCCTGGCAAAGAGGGCCTGAAAAACTTCGTCAGGAATCTGGTTGCTGAGTATATTGCGGATCCGAATGCCCTGATTTTGTTGACGTCTTCGCTCGAGGTTGATTGGGAGGTGTCATCTTACGCGGCATCCCTTGTAACAAAGACAGGAGCGACACAGCGATGTGTCGGGGTCTTGACGAAGCCGGACCGCATTGATAATGATTCAAGGCATAAAGATGTTAAGAAGGCTCTGGATGGTGAAGCCGATGTCCTCGGACACGGATACTACGTAGTGAAACAACCCAGCCAGGAGGCGCTTGAGAAAAAGATCACCCATTCAGAGGCGAGGAGAGAAGAGGAGATGTTCTTCGATCAGACTGATCCATGGGCTACCAATTTGCACACCCACCGTGAGCGCTTCGGAACGCTCAATCTTCAGACTGCCCTCTCTAAGAAGCTTGCTGCCCTCAGTCTCCAGGCGTTGCCTAAGAGCCGAGCAGTCATTTCAGAGCAGCTCGAAACAGTTGAGCAGGGGCTGGCTCGGATTCCAAAGCCACAGACACGGGATGTTGTTGGCCTCGTTCATGAAGCTCTTCGAAGCTTTACTGAAAATATCCGGAAGGAGATGCTCCGGGACTATGCTCGCAACGCTTGGAGGCTTACTTGGGATCAGCTTCGCAAAGACTTTGCTAAGAAATTGAATGACCTCCGGCCGAGAATGGTGTTGTCTGCTGCGCTTGACTCTGAGGTCTTGAAGCCTAAGCGACCAGAGTGCATCGACTTGTGTGAGTCTGATGATGACGACACGACAAGCCGTGCGCTGGCTCTGCCCGTCACACCCCAGAAGCGAAAACTTGACCATGCCTCCACTCCATCGCGAGGCATACCTTCGAAGCCCCAGGCCAACGGATCGAACCCCAGCCCTGGATCAGCCAATGGCGCCGCACCAGCAGTGGAGAAGCAGAAACATGCTATGAAAAAATTTGCGATTCGTTACAACCTCAATGAGACTCGCGACAGATTGTACGAAATGTCCTCTGCGAAATTACATCGTCAGGTCAACCCAAAGGCTGTCGAATTCCTCATGCTGCAATCCCTACACAACTGGGAGGTAATCTTGCAGTCTTTCCTGAAGAGCCTACATGAGCGTCTGTCAAAACGCATTCAGTCAATCCTGGATGAGTCATTGACACCTTGGAATAGTACTGAACTGTTCAAGGGATCAGCCGAGGTCGTGAAGAAGTTCTTGGCTACTCATTTCGACTTGTTGCGAACTTCCATAGCACAAGAGATACTGGTGGCTGAGAAAGAGGGCCCATATCTTTTCGACCAGAGATATTTCGACTTCCACATGTCCCGGTATCTTGAAGAGTACAAGAATGCTCGGATCCGGGCTCGCCAAGACAAGTACTTTGAACTTCTTGAAGCGCAGACCGGAAAAGAACTGAGCAAGACAGATCAAGAGAACCAAGGCAAGAAAGAACCGCTGAGGGCTTTGCTGGCTCAAGATCCATACTCTCAAGAGGTAGAGGTTCTGGCGCAAGTTCGAGCTTACTATGAGCTTGCATCTATCCGATTCCATGAGTCTATCTGTATGCGCGTTGAGGCCCAGCTCTTTAGAAGGCTGAGTAAGGACTTGTTTGAGCACCTTAAAAATGATCTTGACATCACGGGTGAGGATGGTAAGGCCCAGTCCTCAGCCCCCTATTGGAACAGCAATCTAACGTAATTGTAGTTCACGAGCGATGCGTCCAGCTTCTCGCGGACGACCCCAAGCGAGAAGCTCGTCGTCAGGAGTTGGAGCAAAACAAGGCTACCCTGCTCGCCGGCCGCCAGTGCTTGAACCTTCTCTACGAGAAGTATGCCGATGCTTCTCCGTTGAATCTCAGCAACGGAATCAATATGAATGGGGACGGTGTCGGCGCTAATGGGGACAGTGTCGGCGCTAATGGGGACGTTGATTATGACATGCTCTATGAGTGATGTTTCTATCTTTCACGCACGTCGGCGGAATTGGAACTATGATTTGGGAATCATTGAAGGATCCCACAGTTTAGTCGAGCTTGGATTCTTCGGACTAAGCAAACGGAATCGTCTTGCCTTTGACTGCCTCATGAGAATATCATCGTCCTTTCTTGTATCCTGGATTTCGGTGTGGCTGTAGTCTTTTGGGACACATCTGCTTCATGTGGGCAGTTGCAGTTGACTGGGCTGGACGCTGCGATGACATCACAACCCTGTCGTTGCAAAAAAATGAGCACGGGATTTCTTCTTACTTTCGGGGTAGTGAATTCAAGGAGTAGGGTATTTCTGGTGTTTTCGTGCTTGCTGTTCACAAAGTCTCGTGATTCCGCCTCCTGCCTATTTATCATCGAGACAAGCTGCGAACGAGTAGATGTTGCCCTTCTAAGCTTAGCGATGACCTCTCAAAGCAAGATAAACTAGATTTATTTCAGGGAACGTGGACACTGAAGCTGAGTAAGAGGCGGGCGACTCGTATGCGTGGTTGGACCTCAGACAGGCGAGGGATAAAGGCTTGTGGTGTGTGATTGGTCTAACGAAGTACCTCGGCCTAAATCTTAATGCTCCCTCCTGGCTTCAAGCACGTTCCAACCACCCCTCAATGCGCCATCAAGCCCAATCCTTGAGCCGATCTCCTACGGAGGAGCTGTAGATGCCGTGGTATAACAGTCTCTCCGTCCCCGGCTTGGGGATTACTTCTTGCGCTATCCTCTACTCCTTAAAAGCCCCCAGTTTACGACCCACATCGTAAACAATGGCAATCCTCACCTACCAGCCCTTCAAAGGCGTCTACGCGCTCTCTGCAATCGGTTTCGAGCTTGCTAGACTGCCTCTCTGGCTCGTTAAGTACTTCCTCAAATTTGGCCGTCAGCATCCAGAATGGAGCTTCAGACAAGCTCTCAGCGTGCGGATTCTCTTCTCCACTGTTTACCATTTCGCAACGGTGCAGGTTAAGACCTCGCTCCTGCTTACGCCTGGGAAAGAGAAGGGGCGGTTCGTGGTTATAAAGGCTGCCCCGAGTAGCTTCTACAAGGGTCCGCTCGCTCCGAATGAGGATATCAAGCCGGTCGATATTGGTGCGACTTGGTATCCCGCGCCGCTCACGTCATCGTCGGACACGAGCGCGGTGACTATGGTTCTCCATCTCCATGGCGGCGCGTACGTTGTGGGCGACGGCAGGACCGGAAACTCCGGATATTTCGCAAAGAAGATGCTCCAAAGCGGGAGCGCGACGCATATCTTCATGCCTCAATACCGCCTCTCAACGCTCCCCGCATCAAAGAAGTCGAATCCGTTCCCGGCCGCTCTCCAAGACTGTCTGACAAGCTACCTGTACCTAGTCAACGAGCTCAAGATCTCTCCCTCAAACATCGTAATCTCCGGCGACTCGGCCGGCGCGAACGCCGCCATCTCCATCCTCCGCTACATCGCCGAATACGGTGCCGAAACCTCCATCCCCGCTCCCTCCGCCGCCTGGCTCTGGTCCCCCTGGATCTCTCCCCTCGAAGCCACAAGCGACGACTTCACGCGCAACAACCCAAATTACAACACTGACTACCTGTCTTACCCATTCACACTCTGGGGCAGCTTAGCATATGCCGGTCCCGCCGGAAAGTCCATTCTCTCCTCCCCATATATATCGCACAAGAAGAATCCTTTTAAGACGGAAGTGCCGCTTTGGGTGACGACGGGAGGTGCGGAGGTGTTGTATTTCGATGATAAGGAGTTTGCAGATATGATGAAAGAGGCTGGGAATAACGTGACGTTTGATGTAGAGCCGATTGTGCCGCATGATGTTTTGTTGATTGGGGGGAATTTGGGGTTTGATAAAGAGGCAACAGCGAATGCGAAGAGGGCAGGAGAGTGGTTGAAGAGTGTTAGGAAGGTGTGATGATTTGGGCTTGGTTCCGGTTTTACTGTGGATCATGGTTTCTGCTGCGTTGGTGTTTGTTCCACGTGGGATTTCTTGGAATTCGAAGGGACTTGATTGCCGGTGATAACACATTAAATGGGACTTGGAAACTTCTTGCACATCAGTTAGCGCGTCCTGAAAGTTCCGGTGAGTATCCCACGCAGGTGGATGTCACTAGAACAGCTGATTGCTAGTGATCTTGTGAACCTGAGGCAATCAACCTCCTAGAGGTATAAGAGCCTCTCATTTCACTGTCACTTAAACCCCCATCCAGAGTTGAGACCACATTTTGTTCAGTTTCAACTTCGTAGCTTAAAGGCTGAAGCCCACGACAATTATTCCCAACTTCCGTACCACCCCGTTAATCGACCGATTTACATAGTTCCCATTTCAATGATGACACCCACTATGTTAGCTGAGATCTCTCGCTTAGATCTCCAAGAACTCAGTACTTCTTCTGGGGCGTCAATCACTGATGTCAAGCACCTATCCTCCTACAACTGGCTTGAGGCACCCACTCCTACTATTGCTGTCCCCGGTAGTCCGCCTCTTTGGGCTCCACCAAGAGTTCCTCGACAATTAAAAAAGGACTCTGGCCTATTCTACATTGCCCAAAACTCTGCTCGTCATCCGGACAGTCCGCTTGAGCCTCTATTTCGCGCGTTGTACCTCACCAATCCTTCATTCGACATCCACTCGATTCACGTCGTCACCGACCGCAACAATATCCGTAAACTCCTCTCATTCATCGATCCTAGGTCGGCTAGAGGCGGACTGGAAGCCTTCACGATCAACATTGAGGTTGTGAAAAACACGGTGATATTCTGTCTCTCGGATACAGTGACGCACGAGTATATCGAACCGCGAGAATTCCGAGGCTTTGGTCACGAATTTGAGAAGGTATACACTGCTAACCAGATCAGCCTCAGCACTGGGCATCACAGAATCATTTCCTACCGCTTCAGTGATCTGACCTTCCTCGTACGCCATGAAACGGACGGATATGTACACGCTGGGATAGATACAAACAAACCTAGGGGTAGCGAAGAGCCGGAACCGGAAAATGACAATCTCCCTAGCTTCCTGGAATCCTTGTCTCTTTCCTCAACCAAAGCGCCTTCAAAGATCACGCCTGCCGGAAAGTCTAAGCTAACGGTTATAGAGCAAGGCAAGGCGGTGCCACTTGAATCAACCATCGAAATCAAAACACGCGTCTCTCATAGACTGCTTGTGATGGACGAGATCGTGCCGCAGCTCTGGGTATCCCAAACCCCGAAGCTCGTCCGTGCTTATCACACAAAGGGTACATTTCAGCGACCAGAGGTTGAGGACATGGCGGGCGAGATCAGGATATGGGAGGCAGGGAACCAGAGCAACCTGAAGAAATTGGCTGCCCTGATTCACACAATTATCGACGTTGTGAAGGGATGTGGGGGACATGCTGTCGTCAACTATGATATCAAGGGAGACAAGCTGGTAGTGTTGCAGGTTGAAGGAAGAAGAATGCTTCCAGAGGACTTGTATTTTAAATGGGACCATGGGGGCAAGTCTGCTGCTGAAGCGATGACTAATGCGGATCATGCGAAAGTAGCAGAGAGTGCTGTGAAGACTGCCGACGGGGCGAAGACCAAGGAGGACGATGTTTGACCTTAGATACAGGCTGGCATATGCGCTACATTATTTATGCAACGTTGTCATTGGATCGATACCTGAATCTGGATCTAGATCTTGATCTAGAATCTTGTTGCCCAGAATGTGTATTTGTGTTCATACAGTAAGGTGGCGTGGCGAGACACCCTGTGTGGCAAGACAAATGAGGGGTACTTTAACTTTTAGCAACTAGAAAACCTATGCGCAAACTAAATATTGTTATAAATTTATAAAAATAATCTATTAATTATAGCTAATTCTAAGTGCCTATAATTCACTTTTACTAAAAATTACGTTTCCGTCCTTGTCTTCTAACTTAATTTGTACAGCGTCTTTGTCACGGTTATGTTACAGCTATCCAACCCCAGAGTACCCTGGGCTTGACACGGGGTATATAGGCTTCTCGGCCTCCGTACCTCTGCCTCCGACCCTAAGGTTTACTCTCGTTAAACCCCCCCTATCCTGCATTCCCTCTCTGTGCCTCGTGCTTCCTGCTCAATACCTCTCACAGTCTTCTTTTGTGGCATAATAGATCTCTCTCTCTCTAACTACAGCATTAACTGTAACTCCTTATTCTTCTAAATTTTTGTAAATAATTTTATCGAACCCTTAAAGCCTTTCCTTAATACTGAGAAATTATTATTAGCATTGCGCGCGCTGTCGCGAGCAAATTCATGCTAGGCTTGCCTTGTTGATTAGTACTTCCAGTGAAAGCGAACCACTAATCTTGGCTAATGCGAGACGACTCCGCGGGTTATCAATCTGGGGCCGACAAGCGCTCCGGAAGATAAGTAAACCTGATTTAGGATTGGGAGCTGTGCTGGAACTTAGCCGGCGCTTGTTTAGTTAGTTAACATGTGTCCCAGCTTCGACACAGCCATTGTACAACTTAGCATCCGCCCAACCTCAGGCTTGGCCATGTCTCCCGTCAACCAACTCAATTCTCTGAAAACACCTATAGAATTCGCCACCCGACAACGTCTTGTGCCGGTGCGGTTCGGCTGTCCTCCCTGCTAGATTCATCGGAGGCGTTCGTCAGCTCCTAGTGACGCTCTGTGACGAATTTAATAAAAAAAAAAAACACATTCTAAGTAGTGAAGCAAACCATGTAGCTGAAACCATGTAGCTGCGTGTCAGGAAGGCTGTGGCGGAGGCTGCGGTTCGGTAGCGTCCGAGAGGCTTTTATTTCCAGAACCGGCCCTCAGCTGAGGCTGACCCCCGCAATCATGCAGGGCACCGTCGTGAAAGCAATATCAAGGAACTAGGCCGAGAACTCTGGTTTAAATTACTAGGAGAACCCTAGGTTCGCACAGCTCGTCCCTCTCGTCACGCAGTAGCTGGGCCTTGCCAAGCAACGCTCTCATGGCCTCCGCTCATCACGAAATAGAGATTCGGGCTACCCCGGATTCACAATCTGGAAGAGCAAGCTCTCACAGCTATGCAACCTCCGGAAAAATGGTCGTTCTTAGGAAGCAGCCACTGAAAGCAACATCATCGCCGTCTACCGAAGCGGGGCAGGTGTTGAAACCGCCAATTGGGCGCTTCGTCATCAATGTCTCTTTACAGGTCGCCGGAATAATTGCTGCGGTTGCCTTCGGAGTCTTTGCTATCAAGGCGGTGACCGTTGGAAATCAGGCCAATGGATATGCCAGTCAAGCAAACGGATATGCCAGCCAAGCCATGGAGTTGGCTAAAATGGCGAATCAGCTAACATTGCTCACGCTCTGTTTGACGAGTAACTCGGTACGTATTGAGGCACCGTCTGTAGGAGGCAATGCGGCTAATCGTTTTCATCTCTTTTAGTCCGCGGATGTTGATCAGATCTGCTCGCCCGTGGTAGACCGTGCGATCTCGATGCTACCCGACACCGTGTCCTCCTTGTTTTCTCTATCGATAACGTCGCACACTACTAGCGCAACCACGTCTAGTACATATTCAACTCAAAGTCCCAGTACCCGGAGCGGCTTCAACAATACTTATAGCAAAACTACTTTTAGCACTATAGCCAGTTCCAGCACTGCAACCACTTCCAGCACCAGGTACTATACTTCTTTCCCCTCTGCCACACCCTCAGGTCCCAAGAGCAAGCCTGCGTCGAGTCTAATAGGGGGGATCACTGGGGCTATCGCGTGTTTCGCCGTGATATTAGTAGCCATATCTATCGTGTACAGATTGCGTACCCATCGAAAGGAGGCTGCAGAGGGAAGACCGGAGGAAAAACCGGAGAAGCCACCAGCCGCGGAGGATACGCCGGCACCTGTGGAAGGGACGGAGGATACTCCTGTGACGAAACAAAGCACCTTCGCCAAAGAATTCCGAAGACTATTCGTCGACACACGGGTGGTCCCTATTGAGTAACAGGCGACAGAAGAAAGCTGTTTAGGGAAGAGAAAGCTTACTTTACAATGGAATTCTGTTCATGGCGAATAAGAAACATTAAGCCACCATATATGTCAACAACTCTCTAAGCCAAACCTATTACATACACATTGCGATTATTCAGCAGGAGACTGTTCCCTGACGTAAGGGTAATTAGCCACTGGGTTCTTTTATAACAGGCAAGAATAGAAAGTCAAGCTTCAATCTAGCCTTTTCGGCTTGCTGGTGCAGCTTGAGTGCCTCGCGTATGCTAAGGTCAATAAGCACATCCTCGGAGCCACCTTTTCCTATTAGCAGAGTTCACCGACAATTGAAGATCTACCCATCAGGAACGGTGAAGCTGGGGACAGCGCGATAAAACGACTCAATCCTTGCACACCATACCAGACTCAACCTTCAACAACGCCGTCGTGCCACCCAACAGCCTCGCGCCATCCGCATCACCCGGATGCTCCAGCTCGTAGATAATTTGCTCGATTCAAGACTGCAAGGATTCGACCTGCTGTCCCATATTGCTAAACTTATTCGTCACAACCGGCTGCTCAACCAGCTTCTTATTGAACGTCTCGCGCTTCAGCCCATTAGAATGCATCATGCAGCGCAATCCGGCAGCCATTGGAAGGCAATCCAAAGGCGCTCGTGGTTGAAGTTCACCATGGTCTGCCGGAAGCCGTTACCCTCCTGTCCGAAGAGTTATTCCACAGGGACCTTGACGTCTTCGAACATGACGTATGTTGTTGCTGAGAGGGATCTGGCGATGACTGGAACTGGACGCGTTCGCAGGCCTTCCGAACGTGGGATGAGCAGCGCTGAGATGCCCTCTGCGCCGAGGCCACCAGTGCGGATGGCAGTCATGAAGTAACTAGGTGTTTCCTGAGAATTGAGTTGGTTGACGGGAGGTATGGTCAAGGCTGAGGTTAGGCGGGCGATGCCAAGCTGTACCATGGTGGTTGCGACACTGACACGAGTTTGCTGACTAAACCGGCACCGGGGTTGGCTGATTCTTTGTGCTGCTCCCAATCCTAAGCCAGATTTACATATGTTCCGGAGCACATGTACGTTATACACAGCCCATAAATTACCCGCGGGGGTCATCTCGCATTAGCCAGGATTGGTAATTCGCTTGCGCCGGAAGTACCAATCGACACAGTACCCTAGCATGAATTTGCCCACGATAACACGCGCGAGGCAGATAGTAGTTTCTAAGCATTAAAGGGAGGTTTTAGGGGTAGGGTAAAGCTATTATACAACAATTACAAGTAAGAAAGATATAACGTTAGAGCTGTAAGAGAGGAAGTCTATGACACTACAAAAGAGAGTGCTATATAAATTAGGCGCAGGGGCAAAAATACAAACATAACTTTTAGGGAAGCGTTGGTTATAAATATTTAGAATTACCTGTAGCAGATTATTTCTATAGGGTTATAGTGATATTTGTTGCGTACATGACCTTTTCAGCTGCTTCATGTCAAAGTACCTCTAGGGTGTCTCGCTACGCAGGGATGCGCCCTAGCTTTTAACTTACTTTGTTTGAGTTTATTCATCACGATCTACTTAATTAAAGAAGGTTCGGGGGAGTGGATCTACTAGTACTGGCGCCTCTTCGGTACATTAAAATGGAGGATTTGTCCCGCTAAGCAGCTGCCTGTAACAGGCAGGGTGTTTGTACTCGCGAAGGTTTCGTCTGTACATCATGCGATATCTTTGATACGATAGTAGTTAGACGAAGCGAAACTTACTATGGTAGTGTACGACACAGAATACAGCAGTAGCTTTAGCGAGGAACTTAACGTTGACTTGACCCTAAGCATTGTTGATAAAAACAAGCGAACCTACTCTGGAGATGTTGGACAGTCTGAACCTTTCGCCCGCCGGTTCTAGATTGTAACACACTATGTCCCACCAACTACCGCCATCACTCCTATCATAAAGTATATCGGCGTAAGCAGCCGCTGCTTCCTAGCTTCATCAATACAATCCCCAACCTGAATCTTCACCTTCTCTATCCTTGCTATCTCCTACTCCGGTTTCCTGTTCGCTCTTTTCTTGTAATCGTTTCCTTTGAAGTCTTGCCTCCCCAAGTTCATATTTGCAAAGTTCGTCTTCTTCCCGATACTGCCACCATTTGTCGGTAAGTCTACTCTTTTAACAGAGGATATGCTCGGAGAGATATTCGACAATGTCGAACGCGACATTGGCTCACGTGACCCTGCGTTAGGGTGACTGTGGGTCCTTCACCTCTCACCCTTTTCCTGTTTAAGACCAGCGCTCTTTATGCTACTCTATATTTATCTCTGAGCTCTCGACTGAGCTCTCGAGCTCTAGAGACCTTACACCTCACCTCAATATCCTACTTCGTTTCTCAACACCTAAGTGTCCGCTCGCCTCTCTACATATGCCTTTATCAGCTCCATCTAGGAAACTTGCGATAGACAATGTTACATGTCATTTCGAAGTCTCTCTCTTCTAGCCTGGAAACTTTATTGTGATCGTCTGAAGTGGTCTAAGTGTAATACTACTAGAAATAGCCATCAAGCGAAAGAGAAAGGCGATCAGGAGTAAAGAGGGCAATGTTTCTCATCAAAAACAAGTTAGGAGGCATGGATCCCGGACATATATTGCACAAATATAGCCCAAGCGGTCAGGTTGTACGCTGAGTATTTCGCAGAGCTAGCTACAGCGCTACATCCAAGAATTGTGAGGTTGCTGTCGCGTAGGCAGGTAGGTGATAGAGGAGATGCCAATTAGGTGGCGAGAGCCAGATCTAAGTAGATTGATCAGTAGTGTAGGGTCTGAAGAGCTTAAGAGCTCCTAGGTGAATATATAGTGTACAAGACAGAGCCATTCCTGATAAGGTAGGTGCTAGTCCTAAATACATTACTCGTGTATTGAAGGGCCCACACCCGACGCAGGGTCATGTGAAACAAGGTCAGGTGCGGGATTTTCTGAGTACGGGGCTGGAATACAATCGAATATAGATTAAAGAATGCAGACATTTCAAGCATATCCCTGATCTTCTCCTTTGGATTTCTCTTCTTTCCATAAGTAGACAGACCGATGCTCAGCCAGTCATGCACTTCTGTGTAGAATTTATCAACATCATCTTTGCTACTATCGACGTTCACGGATGGCACAGACATGTTGTGTTAACTAGGCGGCGGAGCTGTGGCTGTAAGCTTGCGTATGTGCGGATTTTGCGTAAGAATAATATTTTTATCATGCGTTGAGCCTTAGAGGCATGAGATATGAAAGAAGTGATGTATTGTATGTATAATGAGGCCGAGGGGCCATGAGGTATATATACAAGCGAGAGGAGCTCAGCCTTGAGTTGATTGGACCACCTTCTGAGTTATATGTATATATTTGTATGCTATTGTCTATCTGTCTGCTCTTCCCTCCCTACTGTGTTGCACTGGCGGGCCTTTCGTCCCTTTCGTTGAATTATGGGAAGATCCAAGGGTCTTCGGAAGGCGGTTGGAGGAGCCAGCGTTGCATTGGCGTAGGTCCTTGATACACCCCACTGTTGCTAGTGGCGTTCATAGCGGAGAGGTTGGCGGTTGTGAGGAGAGTGAATTGGGGTGGGCTAGATCTAATGATGGGAATCGATGATTGGAGAGTTGAGGGCTTGCTCTTATGGAAGGTTAGTTTGGTGGAGAAGATATATCTTCACATGGAAGGGGGTGTCTACGGACTGGGATGTTGGACATTTTTCCTGTTCATGAGAGGGTAGGATGTTAAGGCTCTCTTGGAAGTTCAGTAGATTCACAGATTAGGTGAGCTATGTAGAAGTAGGAGGAGTGATTGATGATGGTATTCCCGTAGATGTTCTTTCACACACTCTTATACCTTACCGTTCGACATGTTGCTGAAGGCAATTAAATATGAGGCGAAAATAAGAGTCGCTATCATTGGTGGCCGCATCGTATAGTGCTTGATGTGTCCTGATATGATTTAAGGCTGGGGTACCGGAGAACGTCCTGCAAAGTGGTTTGGGCATGAAATGTGGAATTGAGTTTGGGTATGATTTCGATGTTGAAAGTGGGATTGAAGGCGAGGGAAGTGGTAAAAGCATGCATGCAGAAGTCTCAGAATATGGTATTGAAGTTAAAAGATATTATTGGTGGCTGCACAAGTTGCAGCTCAGGAGCCACAACCGCAAGAGTGGCGAGAAGCTTCATTTTAAGCATGTTAACGATTTGGCGAAGGACTGGAACATTCTTATTGGTGGCCGCATGAGTGTGTGTTTGAGGGTGTGGGTGCAATTCAGGGTAATGCTATTGACTACCTCTCCATCACGGATTTGGAGGTGTTAGGGGGCATCATGCAATTGGAGACGAAAAAGATCATGGAACAGCGTGTCATTGGAGGCCGCAGTAGTATCAGAGTTGCGTGCGGGATTTTCTAGGGCTGTGCTGTTCGAGTTCGACAGTATATCCTGGTCGAATACATGAAAATTCTTCAGGAGAGGAAAATAAAATGTGATTGGGGACCGCACACTTGCCTGGTGGCCTAGGAAAACTTCTGGGGTGTTGTTGAGGGCGAATATCTTGCGGTTAGAGACCTCAATGCTGTTGTACATCTCCAAAAAAGACGGTTAAGGAAGAAAGATGAACATGGTGTGATTAGAGTCGCATATGCTAAGAAAGATGTAAGGCATGGTACCAATAAAGCTCACGAGAGTGGAAGTTGATCTGATTGGAGGCCGCATCTACCTTTTCAATACCTGCTCAGAAGGCAAACATTGTGTCATCGGACCCCCACAACGACATTTTTCACCAGGTTCCTTCAGACGCTGGTGAGATTTCATTGGCGACCTCATTGTCTCGGTAGAAGAATCCTGTGATTGGAGACCGCATAGTCACGACACCTACGCCGAACGCGGCAGGATCTCTTGCATCAAGGTCATTGGTGATCGCCATCTTAGGCTGGAAAGAAAGCTGGACATTGTAGGCTGCTGCTTCTTAACAACTGGTCGAGCGTGCGGGTTCCGCTAAGCGTTTCCATTCGTGGCGCAGCCTCCATGAGCGGCTGAGAAGAAATGCGGTCTCCAATCAACTCAACGGAGATTCAGCCTCGCCATCTCGATGTGCCTAAACCGTGTCTTCGGGCTAAATTCAAAAGCTTGACACTCCCTCCGCCTTTTGCTCCTCGTATTTCTCCCTCCAATACCTACGAAAAGCCTCTCTTTTTCAACAACACTCCGTCGCAAACAACCGCATAACAGGAACTCCTCGCTTCGCCAATTTTGCTTCCTTTCACTGCTTTTTTGTTTAGTAAACACATGAATTGGCACTTTTGGCGGTGGGATTAGTTCACAATAGTAGTCAGCGTTGCTATCATCTACTGCGACCAACCCAGCAGCAGCGGAATCGACCAGGAGTGGTCTAGAGTCGTTCGCGAGGGAGTCACAGTCTCCCTCGCGGACAGCAGCATACACAGCTCAGCTACATAAATCACGCGGTTTCCGAGAGTACGTCAAAAACTTTAAACTAGGAGGATTTTCCCTCGCTTATTCATCGATTATCTAGTCCGGACTCCGCTGCTACGACTTGACAATTTGACAAGTTGCGAAAGCGGCCTAATAACTAGGCCGCTCACGCAATCCAGCGTCTTCACCATGATCATCGCGTAGCGCATTATAGTACACGTCCCTACAGCAATATTGAGGCCCATTCATCCCGTCCCAATGACCAAAATTACGGATCGGCTTCGTCAGACACTAATCGGATACCGGAAGATAATAGAGTGCGGTCAGTTGCAGGCGAAGAGGAGCCAATTTGGGAGGAATGGATCAATTTCGAGGAGAGGGGATGTGAAAGCCCAGGAAGTCCCGACAAGCTTCCAGTAGTGGGCTACAGTCAGTCCCGCACTCCAGATCCAAGCCCGCTCAATATATCCTCGAAAACAGGGTACAGTTACCCTCCTGGAATCTCCGACAATGCTATATTAGCCCAATCGATGACAGGCCCAACCTGCGACCCGCAGCTGTTACCTACTCTCCGGATAAGTGAAGTGGTTGGCGATGGCTCCAGCCCAGATTTCTCCGTTCGTTGCTCGCAAGACAACCTTGACACTATCATGAAGATTTCACTCCCTAGTTCTCAAGGGAATTCAACAACCTCGTCCTCTCCTTGTGGTTCTGGTACTTGTTCCACACCATCTGGTCGCACCTCCAGCCCAACCAACACCAATCAGACCTCAGAGGATGGGTTCGACAATCGAAACGAAAGCAAAGTCGCAATTCCACGAATTAAACCCTCTGCAAATGGACTACAGTACAGGTATGTACAGTCTAGCCTGGATATGCATGGCTATTCGCTCACACGTAGCTTAGGCGACACAAATATCAGCTCGATCGTGAAGCACGAGAAGCATACAAATGCAACCGGCCCGGGTGCCGCAAAAGCTTCACGTGCCTGAAGAGCCTAAGGCGTCATCAATCAAGTTCAAGCTCCTGTACGAAACCGATCACAAAACAGTTCGAATGCCCTTGTGGAAAGGCCTATCCGCGGAAGGATAACCTTGTGCGACATCTTCGGAAGACGAAGTGTGACTCCGAAGAAAATGTTCTTCGTTCTCTTCATCTAGTTTCATGCCAATGAGCGGCAATTCGAGTCGATTCGAGTTTTGGTTCGCCATATCCCGGAGTTTAGCGTTCATTTTGATTTACGATACCCCATGATACGTTTTCCTTTTTCCGCCTAGCACTCAACCGTTGCACTGGTCCTCCCGCTAGTTACATTGCACCGCTATCTTTCAATTCATGAGGCGTTATGGCTCTCAGAAAAGCGATACCGAGTAACTGGTGGGAAGATTAGCGTACCGTCGGGTACACAAGGCAACGGCGTTGGTTTTGCTTTACCCCGACATACCTCTTTCTAGGTTACCTCGGGGTTTGCCTCACGAAGTCTATGGACTCTGAGGAATTGGATTGGCGATATTCATCAGGACACCTCGGTACTGTTGTGCGGACGAACCTATATGTTTGGATGATCATGTGTGCGATTTCCTTAAATCCTAATTCTCCAGTGCAATTTCCTTCAATCTTAATTATCCATTAGTATGTATACTTTCCTTGATCATGAGTATAATTTCCCATCTATTTTCATTCATAGCGGTTGCTTGCCTACGCCAGGCCTTAAAACAGCAATGCTTGTTATCGGCAAGACTACGGGGCTTTCCTAAGTTACTCGTAAACGCGGATGGTATATGCTAGCGATACGTTAGAGTGTATGTATATACACTCCTTAAGAATACGGAAAGTTACGGCGTGAACTGTCTGAATAGTGTAGTCGGAGTGGTATATTCTATACACTTTCAGTGTCAGCAATTGCCGGGCACAGCAGGGTAAGTTCATCTTAAATCAGACTAGAATGCTGCTAACCACTGCAGGGCAAGAGAAATTGTAACCCCAGCCACCCCATGAAGTCACAAATTCCATTGACTATAGGTCACGATTAAACCCTCGCCGCCCATTTGGTCCCGTCTTACAGAGCATATGAACTTGTAGATTATGCGAGGAACTCGTCATAAGGCTGTAAGTGAAAAGATTTGGGAAAGGACTCTGTAAAGCAAGATCATATGAGCGACTGTTCGAGCTTGGGGGGTTTGGGTCGGGCGTGCATTTTTCCGCCCATATATTCTTCGGATGTACCTTGTAGGTGATTGACCGTTTGCCACTTGCATTGGCTTTACGGATAGTCTCCAAGTCTTCTTTTAGTGGCTCTGTTTGGGGAAGATTGAATCGAGTTGGGTGTCTGGCGTTAAGGTTTTGTAATTTCCATTAGAGGTTTTGCGCTAGTTCTGTGGGTGGATGTGCCTACACTTCTATGACATTTTAGATACAAGGTTTTAGTTGAGTAAAAATATAGTGCTATTTTCAAATAGAGTTTGATTTTTTTTCCAAGCTGGGTATATGGCCCTCGTCTTCGGTGGCAAATGCATCCACTTTTTAGGGTGTCGTACGTACGAGCGATATCCCTCAACGCAAAATCAGTCACCCGCACAGATCTTTCCAAAGCGATTACAGCCTCGTGGCCCGTACTCAGAGTTCTATGTTAGGAACTTAAGTTAGGGTTGTTTTCACTTTATTACTCATCCCTGAGCAGGTTTTTAAAAAAGGCTTGTAATCAAAACCGCAGCATTCAAAGGGACAACCGCGCAGGCGTGCTGGCGTTTGAAAAGACGGCATTCACCGGCTAATCACTGCCACTTTCCAGGATACCCCACGTTGTAGTTTATGGCCTAAAAACCGGCCAATTCTTAAATTTATCAAGAATTAAGGCACGTTAATGTAGACGAAGAATTAGAGCTACTAAGCATGGGGGCTAAGAATAGTGTTTTACCGTCACTCTTGCTTTGTTTTCTGGTGCTGGGGGCCTGCAGTGCGATTCGCTACCTCTCCTATTATCCTAAGTTTCTTCCTCATACTAACAAGTATAGCGATCTACTATAAATAAATAAAATTTTCACATTATCTACCTAATGCTTAACGCCTTAAGGCCAGGGCTTCCAACGGGCCGTACTACGGTCCGTACAAAGTGAACCGTAACGGTCACGTGTTCAGTACGAACGTACCGAGTTCGTGAGCTGTACCGTACGTTTAATGATGCCCTAGGTACAGTACGTAGTACAGATTATATTACTCTTTTAGGAAGTTTGTATACACAGTTATGTTACAGCTATCTAACCCCTTAGTACTCTAGGCTTAGCACAGGGTATATAGGCTCCTAGGCCTCTGTACCTCTGCCTCTAACCCTAAGGTTTACTCTTGTTACCCCCTATCCTGCATTCCCTCTCTGTGACCTGTGTTTCCTAATTAATACCCCTCACACTACGCCTCTTGCCGCTTTATAGGCCTTATCTAGTCCAATCTGCTCTTATTACTAGGGAGAACTAGTTATTTTATAGTTAATTAGACCTTAATCTTGCGTCTCTAGGGACCTATAGTCTTAGCTGTTTTAACTAGAGTACAGTGTACTTTAATTAAATTGTACTACTTGTACAGGTCACGTGAGACGTAACAGTTACAATACGTACACCTACCTCTCCTCCTCCCTGTTGTACGAACGTACACAAAATCTCACCCGCACAGGCCTCAAAATCGCCCAATCGTACAGTACTACGCCTTGTTGGAAGCCCTGCTTAAGGCTGTGGGCTTAGAACAGCAGCGACCAAGTTTAGAAAAGATTCAAATATATCTAGATGCACCAGTCAAGGTAGATGCTGTCACGGTTATGTTCCAGCTATCTAACCCCTGAGTACCCTAAGGGCTTGGCACGGGGTATATAGGCTCCTCGGCCTCCGTACCTCTTCCTCCGACCCTAAGGTTTACTCTCATTACACCCCCTATCCTGCATTCCCTCTCTGTGACTTGTGTTTCCTGCTCGATACCTCTCACAGATGCACTATCTAGAGACTATAGCAAAACCCACCTCTAGTAGCTAATAAAATTTTAGAATAAATAAATGATTCCAGTCCTCATTCTGTTAAATAGAACTACTTCCATGATTTAGATACTTTCAGATCAGGGACATTAATCTCGACACAATACGGTTTGGATTAGGTGAAAGGACCAGAACTAAACTGCGCTGTATAAGCTTCGCAAGGACTAAGGTAGTCGTTCAGGCTGCCACACCCATGATGCAATAATTTCCTTCAGGCTATTATCTCACCCAAGTTTATTAGGAACTCACATGGATCTTTACGAGGCTTGCGACAATAAGTGCAATTCCGCTACAAGCTGGCGATGTATCATTAATCGCCTAAAAAGGAAGAAGACGGAACTAAGCACCTCGACAAACTTCTATATGCACACACATTTAGTCGTATAAAACGGGAAACCCTTGCACAGGTCGATGGATGATATTGCAACGGCGAATCACAAACAAGGGTGTGAGCTGACTTTGCGCTAAGCTATTACAGGTTTAGCACCCTCCGAAAGTTTTGGGTACTTGAAGGGTTCTTTTTGGTTGGGGGAAAAGTCATGGTTTGCATTCAATCTCTGTAATTATTTTGTGTTAACACCATTACTCCCATCCCGTTCCACATAACCCCAAAGACTTCGAGAAAAAGACTCCAAGCCTAGTCTGATAAATCACCAAGCTTTAAATTTTCTCTCCTTCCTCGGCCTTCTGTAGCCCATACTTCTTCAGCCTTGAAAACTGTTAACATAGCCAACTTGCTAGGGAGTTGCGGAGAACTGACCTGATGCTTTGAATAGCAATAAAACCCGTTGTATCCATCGGACTAAAGTTATCCAACGTATCCATCGACGCCTCCTCCTCCGAATACAATTTCTCCGTCTGGCTCGACCTACCAAGCACGTACGCATTGCCCTTATATAACGTGAGACGCACCTCGCCGTTGACGCGTCGCTGCGAGAAGAGCAGGCTGTTCTCGATGAACTCACGTTCTGGAGAGAAGTACATGCCGTTGTAGAGCTGGTAGCTCCAATGGTGGCTCACGAACTGATCGCGCAGGCTGCGGACTTGGGCATCCATGACAAGACCCTCGAGATCGAGATGGGCAAGGCGCAGAATGGTCATGGCGGGGGAATCATAGCATCCGCGGGACTTGAGACCGATAAACCGGTTTTCAACGATGTCGATGCGGCCAATACCGTGGATGTAGCCGAGTTTGTTGAGCGCGGTGAAGAGCTCTACGGAGTCGGTGTACGTCTTCTCGGGTGTTACAACTTTGACCGGGATGCCTTTTTCGAAGTGGATGGTGATATTGGTAGCCTCGTTGGGCGCATTGAGAGGACTGTCAGTCATGGTCCACATGTCGTCGGGGGGAGACACGTCAGGGTCTTCGAGGATGCCTGGATAATTCGGCAGTCAGTACAGCGATCTCTGGGGGTAACTTATTGCAGTACCTGCTTCATAGCTGCAGTGAGCCAAATTGGCATCCATACTCCACGGCTTAGCCTTCGTAGATGTAACGGGAATCCCATGCTGCGCTGCATAATCCAGCAAATCCTGACGTCCCTTGAACCTATCACAGAACTCAGGCAGCCTCCAAGGCGCAATTACCTTAATACTAGGCTGAAGCGTATAAAATGCCAATTCAAACCTGACCTGATCTGAACGAAGGAGTACCGTTAGCCGATATCCAAAGTAGGGGGAAGGGGAAGCTCCGCCATCTTCACTCCAGCCATACATACCATTGCCCTTCCCTGTGCACCCATGACTCACCCAACCGCACCCCTCCTCCTGCGCCACCTTTATCTGCGCCCTTGCAATAACTGGCCTCGCAAGACTCGTGCCTAGCAGATACCGTCCTTCGTAACTCGCATTGCACTGCACAGCGCGGAAGCAAAGCTCCTCTACAAATTCGCGACGCAGGTCCAGGATCACCATTTTGAGGGCCCCGATTTTGAGGGCTTTCTTTTCGACCTCGTCCCAAGGCTCCTCTTGGCCAACGTTGGCGAGGAAGCACACGACTTCGTAGTCTTGCTCTTTACCGATGTGTTAATGTATGGACTGAGATTTAGAGGGGAATTGGCATACCGATGAGCCATCGCAGGATCGTAGAGGTGTCGAGGCCACCTGTGAGTCAGGTCAGTTTCCATCTAGCAATTGAACAACGAAGCCAACCATTTACTCTCGATAATTTGCTTCTCAAAGGGAGTACACACCAGAATAAGCCAAACAAACACGTCCCTTTGCCATATCGTCTTGTGTTAGATTCCAATTGCGTGTGTCGTGTAGTTTGGACGATGTGTGAATAAGAATTTTGGCGGGGAGACCAGAGTGGTGGGCTGTCAAGAGATAATAAAAAAGTTGAGTGGCCCAAGCTCCTGCCCGCTTCCGATCTCGGCTTAGATCGGCAAGTCGGTCCCAGCCCTGCAGCATGACGGGTGACCGTGAAAAGAAAAAAAGAAAAAAAAATATCTTCTTTCACCCTGCAGTAGTCTATAGGTTCTGTTCACATGGCAATTGAGTTCCCGATTATGTGGTTACCCTGATGATCTGCCGCCGCTGTCAACCAAAGGAGGCCGAATTTGAGCCCGCGTCGTAGTCTCGTTCACTAACCTACCCACAAAACATGCCCCTCTCGAATAGCGTATCTTCCAACTCATCAACCACAAAGGTATGTCAAGTGTTCCGAGAGTTAGATACGAAGAAATCATACGCCATTCATGCAGAGCATCTACTACATCTATCCTAACCAACGCCATGCATGCAATCGAGTCCTCCAGGACGGAGTAAACATCAGGCGTAAAAATATCGACTGGCCAAGTATCCGTAGTGTGAGCTGCTCGGACCGTTGCCATGGCCGAGGCTGAGGGGAACAGCACTTGCGCGCCCCTTATACAAAAGAAAAATCCTGCAAAACGCCGACGCCTTCAATGCCCCTCAACCAACCGTGCTATCCGTATAATACGTTCTATTCGCTAATCAATGAATGATTGCAATCTAAATGGAAAGTCATGCCTGCCATCTAGAATGCACCTCCAGCAACCCTTTCGCGCTCGTAGAAGACAATATACGCCTTTTCGCTTTGGAGCCGATCATTCCCAGACAGATTCCTCGGTTCAAAGTCTTGCAGCCGTTCATCGTTGTAGGAGCGCCAACACCCGCGGGATTTGTCCCTGACCATTGCCACATAATGTCCGCTTCCGAGCGTGCTGCCGAGATGCCAGATTACAGCGTACGCGTTGTAGATGTATGGCCCGTTCATTGTCGGATCGGTTTTTAGGCCGGTTAATTGTGCTGCGGCATCTCTTGCGTGAGATATCACGTACGCCTCCTGCTCCTCTGTGATCGGTGGCTCCATGTAAGGTGCAAGGTCTAAGCCATGAAGCGGGAAGTTGATTGGAGTGCGGACCTTACGTGCACTCTCCATTCGGGAAGCGCTAAATCGCTTTAAATGTAAAACGAGGAAGTCTGGGGCTCGGGTGATGGTGATTTTCTTCGTGGCTTCTCTGTCCTGTTTGCAGTGTGGGCATCGCCAAATATCGTCTCCAGATAGTTGTTCCGTGGAGCAATACGACTGCAAGCATTCTCTTACGTCGGCAGGCCGGTCGCGGGGAATCTCAACACTAATGCTCCAGAAGGCTTCATATGTAGTGCTAGTGGTTCCGCATGTAGCGCAGGTAAGCTGCGATGCATGTTGACCAGCAAACATGTTACCAATCAAGGAGCTTTCCCGGTAGAGATATCGGCCCCACTCCACTCTTGCAACATATTGTCGAGGAAGTTTCTCGCGTGCAATTTCATCGGCTTCAGATAGCTGCTTTAGTGGTGGCTTTGCCCATGTGATATTAAGATCCTCGTGCAAGCAATCCAGAAGGAACTCGAGGAATTCCTTGGCGTCTTGCTGCTCATCGGTGGTCCATTGAGAGTTGAAATGTCCACAAACTCTCCTGAAGGTGCTCGGCCGGATGGAACCTACGTCACCCTTAAACAGGTTGGAAATTAGGGTCGCGTAGGCTTCCGGTATGATGCCTTTGGTCCCCTTCCAGTTCTCCTTCTGGAGGTCGTTCTGATATCGCTGAGAGAGGAAAATGTTGGAAAGATCCATGTTAGCAGCCAGACATTGAACTACGGAGTTCATATAGCAGGTAACTCCAAAATTGACGAGGCCAGTTTTGTGGAGCCTGATCTGCCCATAGCGACCCGGAGAAATATAGACAGGAAGTTGTTGGGCACGGGCTTGGGGAGCGAGCTGTCGTTCATGAACCCCGCTATAACTGACTCTCGGCACTGATGGTGGTGGGCGGGAAGGCGCTTGCGGAATGGGAGGCGCAACGTACTGAGCTGTAGGAGGGGCAGGTCGAGAGGGTGGGTATATCATCGATTGTTGTTCAACGTCAACCTCCGGGAACCGGCGAAGGAAATCCTCAGGGGTCCGATACATGGGTGAGCCCAGCTCCTCATCCTCGCCTTCCTCTGCTAGGGGTTGTTCAAATACTGCTCTCCCTCGTCGGGCTTCCTCGAGCCATTTTCGCTCTTCTTCGGGATCCATTGACGTGTATTCTCGCAGCCGACGCCTTTGGAGATTCGCCCAAGCAATGTGACTAGCAGCAGGGGCACGCCTCATAGCACGAGACCTAGCTTGCCCGCTTGTGGCTACTGTGGCGGTAGTGGACATTTTCAGCGCTTGAGTCCCTACTAACTCTGTCCACGCATCTACACCTCCCATCAAAAAAATTGGTGGCCGTTGCAAGGGTTTCTCGGCATTAAACTCGTAGAGAGTGTCGTATAACCTTTTCAATGCAGTGTCCTTCTCATTGCGGACGTATTTGTTGAGGAAAGCGTTCGACTTCGTAGATTCGTCATAGTATATCACCAAGTCATACTCATTCCGTCTCTCGAACATTAGTTGCTCCGCATCTGGAGACAGTACGAGGCGATCCTGGAGTTGTTCGGCAGAGCAACCGTCCTGTAAAGCGGTTGGTTCAATGCACATGATGTTGTGGACATAGATGTGGCCTGAGTCGAATTCTTCCCGGCTGCGTACGTCTATTAAAAGGAGATTATACATTCGAATATAGTCGTAAAGCTTGTCCACATTTATCTGTAGCTCCATGGGCTTATGTACTGACTTCCGCCTAGCAGACGAGCTCCCCTGGTCACTAGTTAGGGGCGGGAAGTATGAGTCTGCGTCACCGTTTGAGCCTGGTGGATACGCAGAAGCACTGGATGCTGCTAACGAGTTGCTGCGACCCCCTGTGCCTACCATACTTCGGGCTGTGCTTCTCGGGGGATTAATACTCGGAGGTAGAGACAAATTCCTGGCCGGACTATACGTAGGACTTGGCTCTCTAGGCATGGCCGCGGACATCTGAGTGCTGAGAGCTAATTTTGGGGGATGCAGGGAAGCAGGAGGAGCGGGGGGTGGTGGCATGTCGCGAGGGCCGAGGGGCTGACTCGAGGAATGGTAATCCGAAGGTGACGGCATCTTAACTGAAAAGTCTGCGCCTGTATTTCCAACGACGGTGTTAATTGGAACGGAGGCTCCGCTAAGCCTAGCAAATCGTTGGGCGAGATCATCGGTAGCCGTGGAGCCATTAATTGGAGCACTGGTTTGGTGTAGTGCCCGGCCATGCAGTGATTGAGGCTTTGGCTGTACACTTGGTTTCTTCCTTGGAGATTCCGACGAAACAGCCAGCGAAGAGCGCCCATCCTGGGGCAAGGCGGTTGGTACATCGGGGAGCATCAGCTCATCATCCCGCGGCCAAATGATTGAGCCGTTTGATAGGCGCGAGTCACGTGAAGAACTGTGGTGTGTGCTTGTGGAGGATGGCGATGTTGATGAGAGGACCCCGCTTCTCTTATTGTCGTTCACAATGATTTCTTTTATGCGTACGAAGCGCTCTTCGGCAGACCTGACGTCCTGCTGTCTTATTAGAGGTTGCGCATTTGACACAAAGGGGGGCAGTTAGTCGGAGGACATACTTTTGTCAATTCCTTGAAGTCGCGGTGCAAGCTGCCTCGACTGACGTCAATTTTATCGTAGTAGTCGGGGTGTCGAGGGAGGACATCGACAACTACTTGGTAAGCGACGAGATATTCCCAGAACGCGCCAGTAGGATTCCGGCTGTTGAGCATGGTAATGGCGCTCTTGAAGTGGTGTTCGCCGACCGCCATTAGCCGGCCAATCTGTCACAGATTAGCGAATGTGTCATGAGGCAGCTCCAGGACAACCACCATACCGGCGTGTGTCTTAATTCGTTCACCTTCTCGTTCGCCGAGGCAGTGATGTCGGCGATGGATGGAAAAGCCGCTCCAGGGCCTCCGCCATCGCCATCACCTCCGCCATCGCCTCCACCATCAGCCCCCCAATCGCCAGCTCTCCAGCCAGGAGCGCCAACGCTGTGGGCGCCGTTGGTGTAGCCCTTCATTGCGTTGCGGGGGCGGGGTCCTGGCGGTGGGAGGGGAGCTGCAGCACTCATAACTGCAGCCTAAGACCTGGAGGGATCGGACATGATCCGTGAATGGTGCAGGCGGCGGCGTTGGGCTCGTCGACAGCTGGACTTTGGCGCTGGCGTCTCAGTGTCTAGCGGGTTGCGGGGGGAAGTGGAGGGCGCCGCAGCAGAATCGAGTCGCGGGCCCGTAGAATATCAGGCTTGAGGTGTGCGACAGCAGGGTGCTGGAGGGGGAGGCGAGAGCGAATGTGCGCAGGAGCGCAGGAGTGCAGGAGGGGGGGAGGTGAAGATGGGATGGGACGGTGAATGCGCAGGCTGGCTAGCAGTAGCAGTGACAGCGGTGGGTGAAGGTCAGGCCTTGTCCAGGGTGTCCGTGGGTCGTCGGCGGCTCAACACTCCGCCACAGCACCATTGCGAATGCCAAGCCTGCCCGCCGCCTAGTGCCCTCCCAAAAGCTTCTACCTGCAACACCACGACCTAACCAACACCCCGCTTCCCCAGCGCTAACTCTCCTACTACCATTCTTTTGCAGGATTCTCTTGCGGGAACTCCTCGGAGCCCGGATACCCTTTCGCTGTCCGCACCTCTCACTCGGTCCTCCTCGAACGCCACACAGTCCGCAGCGTCATGGCAGGCTGGTTTGCATCTTCCAACAGCGCGCTCGACGACCAGGTCGAGCGCGCTACCTCGTCGAGCTTGTATGTCCCTCTCCAAATGTGTCTCTAGCTAGACGAAGCATGCTCGAACCCAGACTGACACGTGCTTAGAGAGGACATGCCTCTGAACCTCGAAATCTCCGACGTCATTCGATCCAAGACCGTACAGCCCAAGGAAGCTATGCGCTCGTTGAAGCGGAGGATAGGGAACAAGAACCCTAACGTGCAGCTTGCCGCGCTCAATGTACGCCGTCTCTTCCGCGGTTTGCTGTCCATGTTGCTGACATGTGAACCAGCTCACAGATACCTGCGTTAAGAACGGCGGCTCCCACTTCATTACCGAGATAGCCTCGCGAGAGTTCATGGACAATCTCACATCGCTGCTGAAGGCGCCTTCCGCCGTGGCCCCTAATCAGGACGTCAAGAACAAGATTCTGGAGCTCATTCAAACTTGGGCAACCGCAGCCGAGGGCCGGAGTAATCTCATCTACATTGGGGAGGTGTACCGGTCCCTGCAACGAGAGGGCTTTCGGTTTCCTCCAAAGGTGGACGTTGCCAGCAGCATGCTCGATAGCAGTGCGGTGAGTGCATTTTGCTCCTTAACCATTCTAGGCTCCCATATCAGGCTTTGCTGACCGACCAAACCTATAGCCCCCTGAATGGACCGACTCCGACGTCTGCATGCGCTGCCGGACTGCCTTCACCTTCACAAACCGAAAGCACCACTGCCGGAATTGCGGAAATGTCTTCTGCGGCTCCTGCTCCAGCAAGACCCTCCCTCTCCCCCACCTCGGCATCATGGATCCGGTGCGGGTCGACGATGGATGTCACGCGAAGTTGACGGACAGGTCGAGGGTAACGCCTCTGCCTAGGGGGTTTGATGCCACTAAACCCAGTAGAACATTATATCAGGGGTCTATGGAGCCGAGGAACGCCCGTGTCGAGGACAGCTTTGACGCTGACCTCAAACGTGCCCTGGAGATGAGTCTCGAGGAGGTCAAGGGGCATTCAGGGTCTGGATATATTCCACAGTCCCAAATCCGCTCGCAGTCGAAACCACCCCCAATAAATGGAGCTACGAAGCCTTCTCAACCAGCTGCCGAAGAGGAAGACGATCCCGATCTGAAAGCTGCAATTGCAGCCTCGCTGGCCGATATGGAGGAGCAGAAGAAGAAACATGCCGCGACGTTAAGACAGCAAACCTCGACTTCCAATGGAACCCCTGTTGTTACCCCTAAGAATGACTACGAGCTTACACCGGCGGAGGCAGAGAACATCAATCTATTTTCAACATTCGTGGACCGCTTGCAACATCAACCGCCTGGAACAATTCTGCGGGAGCCCCAAATCCAGGAGCTCTACGAGAGTATTGGCAAGTTACGACCAAAACTAGCCCGCACCTATGGCGAGACGATGAGTAAACATGGTAAGTATCGCTTCCCTAGGTTGCATTGGACTGTGGCTGAGTAATTTAGATACTCTCCTCGATTTACATGCCAAACTCGCAACTGTTGTTAGATATTATGATAGGATGCTTGAAGAGCGGCTGTCAAACACCTACAACCAGGCTGGCGCCATGTATGGTCTTCCCCCAAGCTTGCAACGGCCAGCTTCAACATTGTACCCCAATATTCAGCCTGGTATGCAAGATAATCAAACTGGAGAAAGCTTTTATACTGGCAATGCGGCACCCCAAGAGCCGTACGCCCGACCGCAGTCTTATTACGGATACCAGTCAACACCACAACAAGCACCCGCATCATATGCCCAGCATGACAAGCGAGCCTCGGTACCTCCACAATTTAACGCTCCTCCTCCAGAGTCGTACCAGCAACAGCCACAGCAACAGCCCTCACAGCCTTATCCAAACCTTGCGTCTTATACCGGCGGACAAGTGCCACAGCAACGTCCGCCAAGTAACCCCTATCAACAGAAACCGTCAGCGCCAGATGTATCACCGCAGGTGCAGCGCCGAGCATTGAGCCAGCAATATCCCTCCCAACCTCCATCCGCATACACGCCATCACAAGCTCCTCCATCCATCGTATCAGAAGCCGAAACCGCAAACTTCTACTACGCCGACTCCAACGCAGGCAAACAGCCTGTACCTCCTGTCCAGCGCACACTAAGTTTCGCGTCACAGGTTTCACAACCCCCGCAACCGTCGTCTCCGGAATTGTATCACCGCGCACCACCACAACAGACCCCTCTTTCTCCGCCGACCCAACCCGCGCAGGTCCAGCAGAACGCGCCGTATCCGACACAGCAGCCGCAGCAGCAGCAGCAGCCAGCAACACAGTACTGGCAGCAAGCGGAACCGGCGCCCGCACCACAGCACCAGACTCCTGCACCTCAACCCCAGGCCGCCCAACCTCAACACCAACCTCAACCTCAACTATCACAACCTCTCCAAGCACAAGCACAGCCACAAGCCCCCCCACCCCAACAACAATATTGGCAACCGCCACCACAGAAACAACATTCCGTACCGTCGGCTCCAGCGCCTGCTCCTTGGCAACCTGTGCCATATACGACCGGTGGGTATGGCCCTGAGAGTTTCCCGTCTGCGCCACAAAATCAGTTGCCCGTGCAGAATTTAAAGGCGGTCGCGGATGAGCCGCTTATTGATTTGTAGATTCTTTGGGACGTCGAGGGGTGTGGGAGTAGGAGGGGTGGGTGTGAGGAGAGTGGAACGGACGGACAGGAAGAGAGGAGAGTAGCGTAAGGGTACGTAGAGGAAGAAGCTGCGCTTGGGTGAAGAAGGCCAAGGGGCTTGCACTCCTGTTCCATGTTTTGCATTCATGCTATCGTTTGTTTTGCATTTTTGGGCGCGAAAGGGGATGGTTGTTTCTATACTAGGGCTTCTATTCGGTTGGCCGCCCATTGCGGGAGCAAGGGGAGTTTTGCATTTCTGTGCTAGGGTGGTGGTTAGTAGATGGGGAATTGGGGTGTATAGTTAAGACAGGATGTGAATGAGATTCTTCGAGTTGGAAGGATTAGAGATGGAGGTGAAGATGTGGGTGTTGATGAGTGAGTGAGTGGGTGAGTGAGTGTGAATGGCAGACTGTGAATGGTGAATGATGAATGTAAGTGTGAGTGAGTATGAAAATTGTAGCTTTAAAAGCAGAGAATCATGCCCTCATTCCGCAATTCAATCGCCTCTCCCTTTGTGTTTAAGTTGGTGTTCTTAGACTAACTTAGTCAACATATGATTGTGCATGAAGCTATCAGGTGGACGTTCCCCGCAGCACCGAATGCATGGATTCGCCACCTTTCCATTCGCGTATATCCCCAAGCGTGTATCACTAAACTACAGGTCAACGATGACAGAAACGCAGCAGACCACTGCGATATCGTTGAACCATTTGATTTACTCATCTCATATGTATATCTATATTCACTAACATGCCAGCCATATATGATAAATCTTATCTTGGCCGGGTCACTCAGTACATTCGATTCACCTTTCCATCCGTTGGACACCAGAATCCCTACGCCGACCCAGCGATAGACGTAGGGTCATGCATGAATGCAGCCAAGCAGGCAAGATAGACAAGCTAAGCGCAAGAAGAAATAAACGGGCAAAAGGGCCTGCAAATATAGAACGCTAGGCTGCAGAACAGGAGCAACGGATTTGGGGAAGCGAATGCAAAGCTCTGTATGAGCTAAAAACAATAAAGGTAGGTGCGCGTTTGCACGCCGCACCTATAGTAGAACAGCCATAGTAGCGAATGTAAAAGAGGGTTATGAAGGTACGAAGAACTATTGACGCTCGCAGTTCGCGAAGTTAGAAGAAACTAACAATTAAGGCAAAAAATTTTAAATGCCACTCCAGTAAAATAAAAGCTAGAACGCCGTCGGAAATGAAAACCAACCCGACCGAACCCATGCAACGCCTATGCGAGTAGATAGGAGCCAACAACTCGAAGGTCGGCCGTCTATAATCCAGATCAAATACAAGTAGGTAAAATTCCTGAAGGGTCGAGAATGTGTTGCGTGAGAAAAGTCAGACTATGTGGGTGGGAGATCATGTACTGTTGTCGGTCCACATGGTTCGGAGTTAGAAAGCGCAGACTTTTACTTTACATGCAAGATCAGCTGGGGGTTGTCTTTGTTCCTGGGCCTGCGAAGCGGCGACCTTCAGCTCCGTAACCATGTCCGGCTACAAGGGAAGGAGGATGGAGGACCTGAGGCCCGGCTTTCATACGAATTCGGGCCAGTAGTTGTATGGCATAATTTTCTGGCCGGTCCATTTCTCGCCGTAGATGTTGGTGCGCGTTCCTGCGAAGAAGCCGTCATGCGCATGCTCGAGGACTGAGATCCAAGATGAGGGTTCAGGATGCTTAAGCCACTGTGAGGAGTAGAATGTTAGCGGAACGTCTTGATTGGTTGGAATATGCACCTGGCAGATGCGGGGAAAGGACGCGCGGGCAGATGCGTCAACAGGGCGATAAAGCCATGCAGGGAATCGTAAGGCACGGCAAGCAAAGGGAATGTGGTACGAGAACTAACTTACCTGATTGTGAATGTGGTACGTCCAGGCCCCACGGAAGAAGTTCTCCAGAGTGCGATTGTTTGGAGGGAATTTGTCTTCAGCGAGGACGTAGTCTGCAACAACGCCAGCCTTGCGCAGTTCGGCCTCTTCATCAAGCGTTGCCTGAAACGAGTCGGCATGTTCTACTTTTGGCGTCGGTGAAGCTGACGAACTTGGTACGTTGTCCAGCTCCTCCCGGCTCCGCCTTGTGCGTCGCGGTGCTGGAACTGGGGCAGCTGTGTCAACTTCTGCAATCTGTTCGCTTTCATCTCGAATTCGTAATTCCTTTACTTGCGCTCGCGAAAGATCGATAGACTCCAGCTGCGGGCCGTCATAGCTCTCCCATTCATCCTTGAGTGATCCCTGTTTGCCCTTAAAGGCTGCACCGTAATCCCGGAGGCAAGGAACTGTGCATCGTCCTTCCCGGTCCCAGTTGAATTCTGTCCAGATGGGGTCAAAGGCACCAGTCTCTAGCATCAAAAACTCCTGGTCCCGTCCGTCTTTCCAAGCCATGCGACCCAAAATTCGAGGATGGAAGTTGAGGCCCATACGGATTCCGCCATAAAGAAGGTAGGATGAAAGCGACGAGTTCGCTGTGAGAGACATAATAGCCGTGTTGTAGTCACCGGGGTGAGGATGCGCAGCCCAGCGTTCGGCAAACGCATGCTCTTTGGGCAGCAGCAATGGACGCATATCCCGTAGCATAAGCACGTCCATATCGAAATATGCTCCTCCATGAATATGCAAGACCACAAAGCGGACAGCATCTGAGACTGCCACGGGAAGGAACGTCATCTGTTTCGGAGTGAGCACGAGCCACTGCTGGCCATCCCTGTCCTCAATAATGTTCTCGGCCACTACTTTCTCGCCCTTCACATTCGGCTTGCCAGGCGTGCTATAGTATCCAAAACCATCGGTATTGTCCTCATCCTTGGGGAGTGGTATCCGAGAGGGGAACTTCCACGACTTAACGACGATGTCGCCGCGCTCAACGAGGGGAAGGAAGCGGGCGAACAGAGCATCCTTGTTCAGCATATCATAAACTGCCTTTGGGTTCCTGTCACTGTCAAGCCACAGCCAAAGCCGTGAGCAAGCGAGGTTCTGCGTGTAGAGATAACTCTTGATGAAGACCTCGACTCGCCATGTTGCAGGTCCAGTCCAGTAAACATGATATGGGATGATAGGGCCCGGGCAGGTCCCAATATCGGATCCATTTGCTGGTTCGGCATTAGAGGGGGACACGTAGGTGCTAAGTGTGTTCCCATGCCCGTCGGCATTCAGGTATTCGGCCTGGCGGGGATCTTGGGAGCTCGCCCTCGCTGAGACCTCGGGCAGCTTGTAGTAGCGATTCTCCCCATCCGCGAAGAACTTCAAACAATCAAAGACATTCCTCATCTTCTCAATGCCGGCATATGTGCCCCTGCACTCCTCAATCAGCATATGCAGATCGGCCTCAGTATCGACATGCGGGCGGGGTCCCATGAAGTCGTCCTTAATCTTAACAGCAGTAACAGGCCGGTTGAAGACATTGGCGTGTGGGTTTATGGTGACTGTTTTAGAGGAGCTTGCAAACTTGACCTTGAGGCCAGCCTTGGTGGTCTTGATGAGCTCGGCTGGGCCAGTCTTGTCGAGGAAGGCTGGAATGCCAATTTTTCCCTTTGCGGCGACGCTGGGGTCACTTCCCAGAGCTATTATGCCATAAATTACTGCGTATAAGAGTGCTGCGAGAATCAGGTTCTTCAATAGCGTGCAAACCGCTTTCGCCCTCGATCGTTCGGCCATTTCGCTCGATCGCTAGGGGCCAGACCCCGTAGCTGGAGTTATCGCGAGGGTCACGGGAAGTAGTCCAGCGCTGCTCTTGCCTCTGGTCCTGTGCTCTTGCCTCAGGTGGTGGGCTGGGGTTGCCGGGTTAATTCGAGGAAGGTACGGGCGGTGACCGAGGTCCGCTCGAAAGGGGAATTGCAGGCTTGTGCCGCACGTCGACTGCGAAGTCGTAGTGAGGGTATTAGTGGGGAGTGAGGAGACGCAATTGACGAGCGCCGGCAATGTGAGGTATTAAAGGGAGTAAGGCTGAGTCTGATTTTCTCTGGTTCGAAGCCAGGCTGTCGTGTGTCTGGGAGGCGGTGCTCGGCGTGCTTCGCCCAGGAGGAGGCGACGATCAGGAAAGAGCCGTAGCAGCGCCCACAGAACGAAGACACACGTGAATCAGAGGGCGGAGAAGATGTCAAGGACAGAACGGAAGAAGAGGAGGGGAACAGAAAGGTGAAAGGAGTGGACAGGCGCAGGATTCAGGCTGCGCAGCTGAAGAGAGACTTTGGAGCGAGTTGGGGGTCGGGGATTGCACGAATCCTAATTTGAGAATTACGGCACGGGCACATGGTGGCTGAAGTGCACTAGCCGTTTGGCGTCGAGCTTCTAGGCCTGAACGCCTGACGCCGTCCCTGGCAACCCACGACGCGACCCATGGGATCAGAAATCTCACAATCATATCATCAACTCTACTGTACCATCTTCGCTTTCCCTTCCCATCCTTTTGTCATGTGCATCCACTCCACATTTATCCCTGAGCCACGCCATTTCCACGCTGCCGCTGCGTGCTCCTCATCCCATGCCGCCCTACCTCCTTGCGTGCGCCCGTCCCGCTGTGCTTCGACAAAGCCTCCTGTCGCGTCTCACCTGCATCGCATCAAAACGACTCTTCTCAGCGATTGTCTCGTCGCCAAGCCGCGACCAGGTTAGCATCCCGTGTCGGTCCAATGGATCTATTTCTCTAGAGTACGATATGCCTCTCTTTTTCCGATGTTCTAACACAGCCCCTCCCGATGAAGTCATTTTTCTTTGCACTTGTGACTTCGAGTTTGGCTTGGTGAACTGTTCCTGTGCGATGAAGTCACTTCGGGCAGCTTCGTATTTAACCCCGTATTCCCCCCCGTCTTTCTCGCCTTAGCTTTCCGGCTTCACCAATCTGTCGAGCTTGTTGCAGCACCAGCAGTCCAAGATGCGACTCGGGCCGTTCAAACAAGCCTCTGCTATCGTCTCGCCCGCGCACAACTTGTTTTGTTCACGCATGGCCAAGCTTCCCCAAGAAATCTACGGCTAAAGAATATTCTACTCGTAAAACAAGACTTATTCGAAGTCCTGGTCCCTTGCAATAGCTCTCTGCTACTAGCATGTCGTCTTGTAAATAGACCTCATGAATCAAACCAAAAGCCTATCTCGCTTTCAGGACCTTCTCAAGTTAGGTGCTGTCGTATTTAAAAACCCGACAGGGATAGATCATAGCTCCCTTTAGCCCCCTTAGTCAAATTCGCCAAGCCGTCAGACTTTTCTTCCGGTTCAATATCGGCACATTGTTATTCCGCTCTCATCTCAGCAATAAAATCATCTAATCTTACGAGCATGTACTGAATATTTGTTAGCATATTTCGCCCCTCGACCGCTTCTCCTTCAGTTCTTGTCTACTTGCCCTCTGGACCAATACTCCCTGATCAGTCTGAAGAAGAGGAGCGCGTTATTGCAGCCCTCGCTACCACCAGTGGGTCCACTGTCGTGCGCATCAATTATCGACTATCACCTGAATACCAATATCCAACACCCATCCATGATGTTCTGCTTGGTTACGACTGGATCTTAGAGAACCTGCTCCACGATGAGTTACGCAAGCCCCACCTAGCTAGATTAGGGGTATGCGGAGAGCTTGTTGGGGGATCTTTGGCCACAATGCTTGCGCTAACTGAATGTCGGCTGGGTGGCCGCAGCATAGCTGCTGCTGCCGTCAACAATCCCATCACAGATTGGGCGTTCCCAGATGAACTCCCCATCCAAGAACCAGCACTACTCCCTGAACCTAACGCGCCAGAGGAAACCTCGTCCCCAGCTGACGAAGACTTGATGGCCTGGTGGACAAAGCAAGACGAAGAAGAGTCACGCCAGAAACCTCAACGCCAGAAGCGAAAGCCTAAACCTCTCTCTCTCTCGTGGGAACAGAATTCCGACAATTCAATAATACCGACCCTCCTTCTTTCTGGAGAACGAGACGTCTTATTCCGTACACCAGAACACTACTTAGATCGTTTTGCATCCCCTATCCACTTCTTTCGCTCCCCGCATGGCAAGTTGGTCTACCCATACGATAATCATGGCTTTGCGTCGATGCCATCAGAGCAGCTCCAGGATCCTCTTGACTTCGAAACGCAAATGAGCATTAATCACTATGAGTCTTTTGACGGATCCCCAAAACCCGTTGTGGTGCCCACACTGGTGAGATGTCGAGCGTATGCGCGCATTTATCCTCCATCAGGCAGCAGCCTCAGCCTACCACGCTGGCACATTACTACTGGGTCTGAAAGCCCACTCTTGGATCAGGCCTCTGAACTAGCCAAAAGGATGAGACGCGCTATCGCACGCCAAAGTCTTCGGGCTCGGACTTCCCGCGTTCACTGGGCCGATCCTTCAGAGAAAGCTAGATATGAAGAGGATGCTGAGCAAAAGGTGCACATGAGTGTCCTTGCAGGAACCGGCCTCTGGACCCAGTCGAATAGCGATCTCGAGTGGAGATCACAGCTAGCAGAAGTGGGAATCTGGATGAGGGAGAACTTGGCGCCAACCCACCGCACACGATAAAGGCAGACGACTTTTACGAAGATATCTAATTAAACGTATCGAGAATCCAGTCTTGCATACTGCAAGAACCTTTGCCGATATGAGAAAAGTCATAGAGGCCAGACTTCTACTATCCCATATTATGGAGAAGATACAAGATCAATGCCCACCAAGTACCCATTGGTTCTCGCCCTACTAGTGCCAGTCACCTCTCCTGCCCAATCTTTTGATGTCATCAATGGCAGTCATGGATATCCCCATCTACCATTCACATCCTACCACGTCTGCAAACGTCCGCGAATGTCTCCAGTCATCTCATCTCTTTTTCAGACGTTTCCACAGCCCGAGAGACCGCAAGCTCGTAAACAAACTTATCCAACCTCACTAGTGTATAATCTCTTGCCTCGACGCCTCCAACGGCGACTTAATTCTGTTCCAGCAATTCACATCGCCCGTCCCCAACCCAGCGACTCTTATCTATCTCCATGCTTCATCTGCATGAAGAATTTGGTCTCGCTTTAGCGGCAGCAGGAACGGAAACCACGACTTCGCTCCACACTCGAAAGGCTCAATTTCGGCCAACCTTCCTCTTCATACATCTTGACTCGGGTAGCATGTTCCTTCTAAAATCCCAGGCTCGTCAAGAAGTTCAATCTAGACTTATCAAGTTCCAACAAGCTGCCGGACGTTGGAACCATGAGATAGAGATACGGTCTCCGCTTGCTCTCGGTGTACTTTAGTATCCGGGAAGCCAACATTTCAGACGTATCTCCCTAGATGTACAGGGGTAAGATTTCCGTGCGGGCCAATTGCTTCAAATATGTCTTGTCTAGGTATTGACCTACCACGTCTCTAATCTCGTACGGGACCTAGAGGATCTTACCTTCAACATAGTACTCACTGATTACAGAAAGCGTAGCCCAACTATCGGTATTCCATAACTCGTCTACCCTTCGTTAGAGAGCGTTCTTGCGTTCGTGCATTTTTACATTGCGCCCAGTCTGCTACCTAACACACCACTATGTCAGGATGAGAGTTGGGGCAATGAATATATAGAGCCATTCCTTTTAGACATGATCATGGAGGGTCTGCTGGTTTAGGGTTTTCAAAATTACGGTTATCCCGGCAACAGGTTGGCTAGATTCGGCGGGCGACGATTTGGGCGGGTGGGGTCGTACCCCCGAACCGTGGGACGATTCGTGGGAAAGTAGCCATCGTGAAGTCAAGTCAGTCGTTGAGAGGCCCGAGATCTTTACTGAATCCGGCGTTTTGCGAGCACGCTCTTTGTTGTGTGCTGAGAGCGTTGACCGGAATCATACAAGCGTGTGATTGGAGATGTGCAGTCTGAGAGCATGAAATTGTGTCTCCTCTTCTCAAGTAAAGAGTCAAGTGTAAAGTGGTGGAAGAGTATTGAGAGGCGATATCTGATTGGCCAAGATAAGTCTTAGCACTTAGCTGTTACTCCTCATCTCACATCACGCGAAATTTCCTTCACAAAACTCCAAATATATTCTACGACCAAGGCAAATGTCGTAGCCCGGAGCCAAGCTCCTCCAAACATCATCCTGATCACCAAAATAAGCATTGCCCAAAGCAAGCATCACTAATCCTCTCCTACAGCTCCCACAATAACGCTGACAACAGACCTTTTGCTCCCTCTACAGTCTCCATCCTCGTCCAACATGGCCGCATCAACTAAAACCGCACTCCTCATTATCGACATGCAGAACTGCTTTCTCCCCATGACTACCACTGCCCTTCCAAATATCCTCAAGCTGTCGAAGTTCTTCACCCAACAAAACCTCCCGCAAATCCTAACCCAGCACGGACATCCGCCCGCCGACTTCACTCCCCCCATCACCAACCAAGTCGTTAGGAAATGGGGCGTCGATGGCTCCATACATAGCTCGACTCCAAAGTGGGAACTCATTCCTGCCATTGCAGACCTTGTGACTGGAGATACCCCGGTCATTGCGAAGAATACGTACGACAGCTTTATCAATACGGGGCTCGAAAAAGAGCTGAAGAAACGGGCCGTTGGTAGAGTTGTTATTACAGGCGTGATGACGGATTGTTGTTGCGATACCACGGGCAGGGGTGCGTTCAATCGGGGATTCGAGACTTGGATGGTCAGCGATGCCACGGGAAGTAAGGAGAAGGAACAGCATGAGCGGGGACTGAAGGCTTGGGCTTTTGGGTATGGGGATGTAATTACCACGGAAGAGGTTATTGAGAGGCTTTCGTGATTTGGGCTACAGTATTGATTCTTGTGGGGAACACAACGTCTGGTTCGGACTAATATTGGCAGCCATGGGGCACGGCTTAAAATCCCAAAGCAGAATGGGGCTGGCGGAGACATGAGGTAAGGAGGGCGGGGAGACAAATGACAATCGTTCTGAAAGTAGAGTCGTGAATGAAGTCGTAGTGCAAAAAGTATTGAGGGCAGTGCTGTTTAGAGGCGACTAAATATAGTGAGAGGTGTACACCTACAAAAGAGGATAGCGCAACTGCATCATTAATTATGAGAATCTGAAATGTCGTTTCCTCCACTAGATCGGATCTACCACCCAGTGTTGACTTTAACTCACCATTGCAGGCAATCCCAGCCTAGTGTTCAGGCTTCGTATTCCATTTTCCAAGCTGGAACACTACGATGAAAGCGTACTCTATCGAAGTCGAAAGACTCACACAAAATCGTACTGGTTCCAAGGCCGCAAGCCAAATAACACGTGACACCTGTATCCACCTTATTGCAAGAAGTTTTTGTGGCCCTCTAAGTTACCGCATAAGGCATTGAGTACAACTCCCTCGCGCAAAAAGTCTATCGTTTTATGCCTCATCTACGAAAAGCGCCCACACACGTGAGAAAATTCCTTAGAATGTCCTACTTGCCCATGGTTAGATTTTTCCAAGCCTACTGGTCGAAATAGAAGGCACGAAGTTGGAAGCGGCAATCGAGAGAGAAGAGCCACCAGTATGGGCTCCACATTTAACCCTCCCCCAAGTTTCAACCCAGGCAAGCCTAGTCAACCAAAAAAAAAAATTCCCACTCCTACTATCGATACATCGTCGCCAAGCACCAATCCCAAGCGTTCAAGATATCATCAATCTCCAACGTAAGATCAACCTCTAAGGCACCAAACTGAAGCAAAAAAAGAAGCTGTCTGGAGCACTTGGCCGCGTGCTGATCTCACCTTCTTCTTACGTTCATGCTCTATTGAGGACTTTGTAAACGCTTATGTTAGCCTTGCAGATTTTGCCCTCCAGATTACGGAAATGAGGTTGTAGTTGGCGTATATAACTCATGGTCTGTTGATCCTCTACCATGATGCGCATAGAGTAATAAAATAGAGGGCGAGTATGGCATAAGTTTAGGTATAACATTTTCAGGTCCTTTATATCTTGAAATACTCGACTCACATTGCTAGAGTTAGTTAGACATGGATAAACTTTCTAAAGAACCACGGTCTCGTATATGCTCACTTAAATGGATTTATGAAAGTTCGATGTATTGGCGCTATAATTTGAAAGCAGCGGCAAAACTTACAACTCATTAGGAACCCCGGCCATCAAAGTAACATATTGAACAGGGGAACCACGCTCCTTAAAATACACCTAGAAACCGAAGTTTCACATTTTCATATCTTAAAAACTACCTAATAATCGATGGTAGAAATTGAGAATTAAGCTATAATATATGCCTATTAGCTTCTATTAAGGCCGTAGAGTGTGTGGCCTAGTGGCTTTTATAATATAGAAATTTAGTTAAGTTTTAGTTCTAACTTTTCGTTCATCTCTAGCTCCACCGATTAGAGCTATGTTTATAGAGTTCGAGGCAATTAAGAGTTGATGAATGTTGGTTGAGTGTGTGTTACGAAGTATTTCGCGTTACGGGATGGGATACGATATAAGTCGTCCGTGTGAGTCAATCGCTTTTAATGTCTCTATTCACTAAGCTTAGCATGGTGTTGGTAAGAGTCCTGGGAGGGGTAAGAGAGTTGACTGGGCTTTCACGAGAGCTCCGGGAGCGCTCCGAGCTGAGTGGCTATCCTTTGTTAAGGGCAAACTTGTAAACAAGCAAGTTTGTAGCGTTTCTAAAGTCCAACTTGACTTGATTGATTACCTACTTGGGTTAGCGACCTTCCTGTATAGGTTTAATGCGTCCTAAATGGGCACAACACTTCTCCCTGACAGTAAACTTGACTTGCTTGTTGGCAAGTCTGGTTCGGGGACTCTGGGGAGCTGCTGGATATCAATATTCCGATGTTTCTGAGTGCTCGCCCGCTCGAATAGGACTACATTGTCGCTATTCAGCAGGTCTGGGTGAAGTCCAGATTAGGTTAGACTGGATTTCCACTCACTCTGATGAGGTTTGACTATTAATCAGGTGAGTCGTCAGACCGAGTCCGCCCTAATATTATCATATGAAGGAACAGATAGCTAGGGCAAACTAGTCACTAGTTCGTCAACTAGCACTGCCGTTTGCCTCTTCAGTGTCATTCTGCAGATTACTACACAAATCGGAAAATACTTACATTACTTGGCCTCGAGATTGAACTCTATGAAGCTAAGAAGTGAGGCAAGAAAGTTACTGAAGCAAAATATTCGTCACGCACAACTAATTTTCTGGGCCGAAATGAAGCCAGAAGCCTAGCTTCTCCGGTACGTAGAAGTCCTAGAGATGGTTGCTTCAACGTAGCTGTAAGCCGGAGAGCTCTACGATGGGCTGCTTAAACAACCTTAGACTTGGAGTCTCGCCTTATATAAATCGTAAAGTAGCTCCTCTGATCCTCAGTCCACAATACATCATTTCTTCAATAAGTCGTGTCTCCTGCAAGGCTACATTAGCAACCGGACCAGAGCATGAAGTATCATTAGAAGAGCCCTATACACCGATTTTAGAGGTTGAATACTACGATCCGGTAAGGCCTGTCATGGTGACTAACTAGGTAGGCGACTAGGCAAGGAGAGCCTTGCTTTCGCTTGCGAGCACGTATTCTAGAAGATAATGAGCATATATTTAATCTGCTAAGCCTCTCTCTGGAAGCGAAGAGAACGTAAATAGAAAGAACTTTTAAAAAAAAGATTTCTCGTCGCTCGTATGGGTTCAGAGAATAGTTCTGACGATGGTAAGATGTACATCTCGCTGAAAAAAATAAATAATTAGATGAGGTGTCCAGTCAAAAGATTGAGACTTAATGCAGGTCCACAGTTTTAATTGGAAGAAGAAGGTCTCATTTCTGCGTGATTTCCTGCCCGGAGCCCAGTGCGAAGTATGTGGCGATTGCAGGTATTTAGCTGCCCTAACGCGATCATCGTCGACTGATAAGCACTCCTCTAAATAGTGGAAAATGACGGATGTGTATCTGTCTCGCAGGTGGGTAAGTCTCAAGCGAGAATAAACAACGAATGCCCTACAGTACTATGCTCATTATATTGACTTACCCCCACTATGCATGGCTATGAGATTATCACATGCTCGTCCAGACCTACCGGGGAGAACGAAATACCACAGAATGAAGAAATAGAAGGCACAGAAATCACGACATTAATGACGATGAGACACCGAACTGTGAGGGCTGCGATGGTTGCGGGGAACGCCTCCGACAGTTGTTCCTTTACAATGTCTGTCAGTGCACCTTGTGCGGAAAATGCTGGGACCGACAACTTGTTCATAAGAAGAAACGGCTGGCACCCGGGAAGGTACCTCATGAGAAAACGGATTTACTGTTGGCAGGTTGCATTGACAAGTTGCTCTCCACGACGCATAATGATAGGGTGCTCGAAAGCCATATGTTACCCACCCTTCCTGCTACAATAAAAAGACTAGATTATTCCTCTGCCACTCCAAGGAACTGACCAAGACGTGGAAGATGGCCAGCCGTCAATATTAACAGTCTATGGGAGATACTCAGACGACGTTCATTCAGGATATGGGAAACCATCGAAGCAGCAGAATATTTTTGAGAATTGTCGTTAGAGCGGGCCGAACAGCAACCCAATTCCAAGCCTCGTTTCCTTTTGTTGGGCAAACTGGTGCCGGGAATAGTACGATTACTTCCGTTCTAGGAACTTTAGGTCAGGACCTCCCAACCTCTGAAGCCATCCATCTCTACGTCGATCCCTTTACCATACAATCACGCCACTGCATTCTCTATGCTGATTGTGAAGGCTTAGACGCTGACGAAGGAGAACCATTAACAACGACGCCACGGAAAAAGCGTTAAGGGAAGACAGACAACCTCTAAACCCTTGACTACAACATGCCTTTTGGATGGCCATCAATGTACGGAACGCGAGATAATTTGGATGAAGTCTAAATTGAAGCACACAAGACAGTTCACTGCTAGACAACTGTACCCTTGAATTTTGTTCCCGTTCTCAGATGTTGCGATCTTTGTATATCGCAATTCTAGGTATGCCACTCACTGTTTTGGGTGACAAAAAATGGTAAGATTCTGAGCCTGAGCGATCGAAGGTGTTTTGAAAGGCTCCTGGAGTGGGGGTCAGTGGGGATCGAGAAGACACAAAATCAACCCATCCTTCCTTGCGCTAGAATTGATAATTGGGCCGAAAGAAGCCAAAAGCAGCTTTGATTCCTGTCTCTGGGATGTGAATACTTTTACCAGTCTTCTCTTCGATTCATTGGCAAACACAATAGATGGAAATGTTGAATTCGCTCGGCATGCAGTGGTTTGGAGGAAGCGTGACAAATCCATTAACACATTGGAGAGTCTCATGTTGTGCTACTACAGTTCCATAAGGGTGAGTGTGTTTTTTGCCTAAGACGTTGCATAACTGCCTTTTTGCGAAGGCGATTTGGCTGATCTTCTCCTATTGGCTAGGTAGTGCGGCTGCCCACAAGCGCAGAAACTCTATAACGAAATAAAGCACGTATGTTCCGTCTGAGAGGATCAGAAAACTAATTTATGAATGTCTCTTGATATATTTGAGTTCCAGGAGTATCTTAATTATGCTCTTGATCATTTCTGTGCAACCATTGAACTGCCTTTGGACTGTATTCGACCTTCATACTTGAACTCCCATCTATCGACAACATTTGCGGAGGGTATATTTTCACTAGCTATTCTTATGGTGCAACAACCTCCAAGACCAATAGCCTCGGCAATCTTCGAGAAGGTGAGTCTTCTTATTGCTTCAAGCATCGTGCTAGACACCACTCGAAATAATCTTCAAGATTGGGTTGATTGATAATACCGAACAATAAAATTAATATCTACTAACTAGGCAAAGATACCACAGATAGACTCCGTCCTGAAAGTATTCTGCGATCGACACTGGCCTTGTACTTTGTGCGTGACAGGGTTCCGCCGCATCTGCAATCCCCATCTAAACAGTATGCAGTTTCAACAAATTTTCCCCTCACATCCACCCTCTTACGGTGTGTGAATGTCCACAATGGTCACGTAGCAAAAGGCCATCGGCTCTAGAACGGAAGGGTATTCGCACGAGGTGCATACCTTTCAAGCTTCTCTTTTGGGAGGAACTGGGGAGAAGTGCCGAATTGAGTCTACATCCAATTATACAGCCTGACCGGAAAGTTATCACTTTTTACCTAGTCGGGTCTGATGCTTCTAGATGTAGCTTCGACAGTACATCGCGACCATGTGCTTGCAGCCCACCACGCCTCGGGTAAAACAAGGATCCAGTGGGGCTGCGCTATACGTCATTCTGCATCTGGTGTCTTCTAAAGACACCAGAGGTTCTGTCACCGTGCGGGCTCGTGCTATATAGGCATTGCATCTTAGCCTATGGCCGAGATCGAGGCAGGACGCAGGTTGAGGTTCTGGAATGTCCGTTGGAAACCAATTCTTTCAGAAGGTGTCAGCCGCACTCGATTTAACTGAAACCGGAAGCTCCTGGGGTTCGTGTTCTTGTGCTTGAGCAGCATTGCTCCCGTGGTCCCTACAATTATTCCGTCTGCTAATTTGATGTAGCGGCGGTATCCGAAACCTTATCCAAGCCGAGATTTTGAACCTCTTGAAAATGGAGTTTCTTGGAAAACTGCCTATTCAGCGTCTCTTTGATATGATCCTTGGACAAGGGTGAGTCTTCTCTTCTTCGAACCGCCTAGATCACTGAAAGTAATATGACAGCACCGGAGGTGCACTTTCCCTTCGCACTGTCTCCCGAGGATGGCCTCTGCGCACTTGTTCGGAAAACCGGCGTTCTCTCTACGAAAAAATACTTGCTCAAGAGGATTTGCGGAAACTACTAAGTATATCTCTCCAACAATGGAGAATTTACCATTCGAAGTATCTGTCAAAACCCTATATACTTGCTTGAAGGGGCTCTTTTCCTCCCACGAACGCATCCTCCTATCCTCTTGGACCAACCACCCTGTAGATCAAAGCACCAAACTCGTGGTTCTAGCACCGTCGGCCAAGGGAAGGAATGCCGTCTTCTCTAATTCTCGCTGTAAACATACTACCAAAGGTAAGTGGCTATTTATAGTGATAAGGGCTTCGCTGATCCATCCGTGCAACACAGACCCTTAACTACAGTCTTTACCCTGTGACTAACGATTTAGCTGGACTTAAAGCCTTGGAAGTGTAAAAGGCGCCGCTTGCTATCGAAATCTTCATACTGATTATGTGAGGTGCAAGGGCGACAATGGCAAATGTCTTCCTTTTCAAGCCCGCTACCGATCCGCACCTCAGGCCCTTTCCAGGAGCAACAGTACATCACAACCCAGCATAATTTCGATAGTGGAAGCCGAATGCCGAGCTATGCACTTGTGTCTTCAAAGTGAATTGCCTGACCTCATACTTCACTAGGCTATGGCAGAACCAGTCCATCTAATAGCACCTCTGAAACTGACGATGCCGCAAAGGCTTCCGAACACTTGGAAACGCAGTGGTTATGTTCCTCACGACGCAGACCAAGTTTCTTGGGATAGATACATTAATCTTTACCCAACTGCTATCCCGGGCTTAATTTCGTCCGAATCAACCCAGTGTTCCCAACAGTTAGTACTCCTAACCGTACATACGGTCCGTACAAGGTGATTTGAGCCGTACATACGTATAGGGCCTACACTCTGTACACTGTCCAGCACGTGAGGCTTCTGTGCTAGCCGTTTACAGCAGTGGTATAGAGTTTTAGGTAGTTTTTAGGTTATTGCTAGGGCTCTGCGTTGCCAAGGGCTAATTAGGCGTCCAGGGGCCAGCCGCTTATGTCAGCTTCCTGTCATTCTGGCCCTGACCCGCCACAGCGTGCGCCTCACACGTGGCAAGTTAGACGATTTGCCTGAAACTCCTACACTTCAGGTAACAACTCAAAGAAATAGAAGTATCTTGCCTACGCTGCCTACTTCATACCCTCTAGAGAACATAGAAGTGGCCGACATATTCCTCTCAAGATACAACATACTATTTGGTCAAGAATGGCTTTACTACGAGACAAGCACGACATTCTTACCCACGAAGTAGGGCACTGGAATCCCGGACTGAATAGTTCACTAACCATTTCATCAGAACCCTAAGCATGATTGCTTGCACTCATATTGCAAGTTTGACGACTGCGGTCAGTGCGATTGTGTAGATGTGAAGGGGGCGACGCACTGCCAACACTGCTACCACTGCATGGGATGCTCGAGTGCAGTGTCTAGAGGCTGCCGAAAATGTGCCTACTCGCCAGGCCAAAGCAAGTATCGAGATTATTGTGGTGGTGCGCGGGGGTGCGACTCTGCTGGAGGCGTCCGCGACTGCAGCATTTGTTATGGAGTTGACACAGAGTGGAGCAAGTACATGGATGACCATCCACCATCTCCATCACAGGCGGATCTCTGTAGGGTTGATTGGGGCGAGGAGGATAGACTCGCGGCTGATCGGGCAGAGATCAAAGAGAAAAACGTTCCTAATAATCACGCTGACTCGCACAGCAAGAAGTACCAGAGCATGGAAGGACCTGAGCAATGAGCAGCATCAATAGCCTATTCCATCAAAACTCCCGCCCTCGACGAGGTTCCACGATTCATCTGGCACAAATGAGAGATTTGTTGAAGGTTTGGCCAACAATCGGGGGTCTAGACAAGATATTGATTTATCTAGTTTGGAGTTATTGCTGTTGTTTAGGGGGAGGAGATGCCAGAAAGTGGCAAGATATTAGAAATCACAGAATACCTGGACAAAGTATCCGGAATGGAAAACACTGAAGGTCAATACCTTAGGGAAGTTCAACGCACACAGCAGAACAATTATCTAACGCCAGCCCTATCCGCAATTGGGTCTGGGGTTAGAAGCGAAAGACAGCCGACCTAAAAGAAACTCAGAACATCTGTGGATGGCGGTGAGGTATTGTCAGGATCGTCCCTGGGAGCGGAAGCGCGTAGCCAAGTTGACAAAAATATGGGCTTCATACGGGCAACAGTATTTCGGCATCGAACCGCCAGTCTCTACCATATCTGACCCAGAACGGGAACCCTTCCGCAGAGTTTCGCAAAAACTTAACACCACGGAGACAGCAGTTGCCGTGGAGGAGTTGCTCGGTTCGCAGGGAGTGGGAAACCCACTCCTGTGGAGACGAGCCTTTGAATGGCGATTGGGCCCATCTAAAGAAGAACCTGGTCATAGGACAAATGAAGAAAGCATAGGAGAGAACTTTGCTACATTCCGAGATAGAGAAGTCGCTCAACGTAGTCTCATTGAGGACCAAGTCTCAGAGATGTAGCGTCGCCGAAGGGATGTATATCCTAATGGGCATGGATTTCGCATAGCCTGTCTCTGGTTTCTGGATGATACGGATGGGACATCAGCCGATAGCTTTTACCGGGCCCACTGCACTGATAATTCCGGCTCTGCTTGCGGGCCTCAAATGCGAGCAAAGAGGAAGGGGCCAAGGAGATATACGGAGAGAAGAAACGGGTGGCTCCGGAAGGGCTAGAAGAGGAGGTCTTCTCGGACTTGTGTAGTATTTCCAATGGACCTAGATTGGAGTCTTTGCAGTTCAGAACATAATAGAAGGTGTATTTGATGAAAATCCCAGTTTTTAGGTGCGTTTCAATGCGAATGTCTGTGATAAGAAAGGGGTCATTGTGTGGATTCGTTAGCGCGATGGATGATGCTAGCCTAACTCTTTTTAACTATGGTACACGTCTTGAAAATGGGTTCATATCATTATCTATAGCCCTTAGAATTCATCTAGAAGCGAAATTATGTGTTTGATTCAGCTCCTCTCTCAGTTCAAAGCCTCGGATCACCAACACCCCGCGCTTTCAACCCCTAAAATGCAACTGACGCTCACAATTTGGTGTTCACGCTGATGCGGAACACGAAGGCTGAGCAGATTGACCAAACTCGTATCCCCGCCTCATTCATTGCAATCCACCAATCAAATCCTATTAGGATCCGTAAATGCAAGCCACACTGTTGGAGTCATGCCCCCTGTCCTGGGGCTTGCAAAGCATGAGGCTGCCCGAATGACCTCAGTGCCGGTGACCAACTTCGCCTAAGGGGACCATTTTGTGAACACGCGCATGCTTTTTAGGCGTGCGAGGGGCCCTGAGGGAGTTGCAATGTCCTCTTGTGAACTGGCATCATAAAACTCGGCCCCCTAGAGCCGCATAAGCCGCAGGGGAGACCGTATCTACAAGAACATATCCCTTCATCTGGACGGACCGTAAATCACTGTGGCGACATCGCGAGCCGCAAGATGGACGTCAACGCCATTGTTGCGAACCTCCCACGCGACAACTGGAACGCACGCTGTATCGAGCAACTACCCTTGCAACAAGACCAAAACTTCACGGGAGGCCTGATTCATCTCGTGGATGCCTTAGGTAGGCGGATGTCAATATTCACGAATGAGACTTGGGGTATGACGATAGGGGATTGTTACCAATATTGTAATTTGCAACATGTTCCTTATGTAAGTGTGTGATATCTTTTCTAATGCTATCTTGTCTTTTCCCATATTTAACAACAAGAAATCAAGAGGAAAAGCAACATGTCGGTGATGTGAATGCTGATGATTGATAGAGTTTTGATTTCCAACCCTTTGCGAGCGCATTTTCCAATTACCTGCTCCCCTGGCTTGCACTTACAGCCCAACTTCCATATGAAACGAGTACCCCGTGGGATAATCTCCTGTCGTTGTGTATGTCCGTCGGATCGCCCGCCCTCATCACATACTCCCTATCACTCACCATCTTAAATCGATATAGCTTGAGTACGCGATGGCATGCTCTTCATCAAACCGCCCTTTCACGCGCAGTCCACGACAAATACAGCGATTTCAGTGTTCGCATAAAAGCAGTCCAATATCTTCTCCAAGAAGCGCAGCAAGTCCCATTACGAGCAAGTCAAGAGCGCGGGTGGTTGAGTAGTCTGATCGTCGGCCCCAAGAATCAAGGATGGTGGCGTGGTGTGCAAAGGAGACTGCGGAGAACAAGAAGAGGGGTGACGTTTTCCTTGGTAGCTCAGATATTAGCTGCGGGAGTTGCATGGCTGTTCACTGTCTCAAGCGAGTTCGTCGAGAGCCGAGGAGACCGAGTTGTAGCGAATCAGTTGAGTAGTGGGAGCCTGTGGCTGTGGTTGATCCCGGTCATCTGGGGATGGGTTACGGTTGGCACGCAGAATTTCGCGGACTCCATCGATGAAGCTCTTCGCGCAGATGCCGCATATCGAGCCAAGGAGCCTCCGATTCTATCAGAAGCCACGATCACGGAAAAAGGCGAGCAGCGTGGCATCATGGTGCGGTCAGGTCTCGCATTACAACCGCATCGTGTTCAGACCAACGAGGCTGCTTTCGAAGTTCCACCCGTGACGAATCTCGAACTTCCTCGTTGGCTGGGTTCGGATATAATGGGCGATGAGAAGCATGGGGGTCCGATCTTCAATTATGCTAGGGTTTTTACTTGGTGGCAACTGGCGCGGACTATTGAGTCTGCGTTGACAGAAACAGTGAATGGTATTGCAACAGGGCAGGCTTGCAAACCTTCACAGGAAAAGGTTGTCTTGAGACCATGGAATTCCGATCGAAGGCCTGAGGAAAACCTTGCCGGAGACTCGTACACGACTGCTCAGTACTGTGGATTAGACTTGAACCGTGGCCAAATTCTGGCGTATCCAGAGTGGGATGAAATAACTGCCGACGTGTGGAAGCGCATCTTCGTTGCTAGCATCGTCGCCATGTTCGTTCAATGGGGTACGGTTGGACCTGGCATCCTGATCGCATACTACACGCCAACGAAAGGTATCGGGTGTCGAAGTGCGGGTTATATCCTTTACGGCGCTTCTGCCACGCTCGCATGGATGTTGCTCGCTGCTTCGGCATTGTTCTCACACGCGGCAATGCTCCGCTACCAACGCGAGCATCGTCAAGCTCCATCGATGGATTTTCGTCGAGCGTCAGTCAGTTCGCCTGGCCTTCAACCTTCAGGTCCACAAGGTTATGAGCGCAACACCGCGCACTCGATTCTGTGCGGTCTGGCTGTGTCCACGCGTCTCCTTGGTAAGATGATCGCGGTACTGAATACAATCTGGCTTGTTCTTTCTTCGCTTCTTGAGTATACTGGAGTGTATGACAGGTGCTATTGTAAGAGAAACCAGATTGGCTTGGGCATGGGTGCAGGGTGGTTGGTGTTGTTCAAGACAGATAACGATTTAGCGCAGTATGCGACGACACCGTGGGCCGGTGGGGTGGCGATGAGCATTATAGTTTGTAGTGTGAGCTATCTTTTCTTTTGGTTGGGGAGTCGAGGTAGTGCGAGGGAGGCGTGAACAGGGTGGAAACATGCTCAAATGGGTGAAGCCGCTCTAGGTTCCTCGCGCAGCCCTCGCGAGTTACTTTCTGTAGTGCGCCCCATTGCTTTCCAGCCGTAATAAAAAAATTCATGTTATCAGTCCACTGATTTGTCCACATTCGCTGGGAGAGGGGTATTTTGGGTATGAGAGGAAATTGTCATATGGAATGTAAAGCGTAACGATGAAAGGTGCCAGCGGCAACAGGTCGACGACAGAACCTCTGTATAAGTGACCTGAATATAATGTGAATTTCTTGAAAGCGCAAGCATTGGTCAAGCCAGTATGAGCCACGTGTATAACAAGCTTTCGGCATTCGGTCCGAATCGTATGGGCGGCGTGGGGGAGCGAACCTTATCCGAACAGCAACTATAAACCGGAATTTCAAGTCGAGGAGCCATTAGATTAGACAGTCTCCGCAACTGTACTTCAGTAATGGGCTTTAGAATCCGGGATTCTCAAATATGGACCCATGAGCCGCAGAGGCCACCAACACCCCTACGCTCTCCCCATCTCACAAGCATGTTTCTTGCCAGATTTTGCTCATGTTCTTGTGGTCCCAATAGCCCCACAACGACCAGCGGGAAAACACTCCGCATGAAGTCAAATCCCACGGGATGTGTTGATTCTATGAATGCGGCGACTTGCAGGATAGATATTGAATGTGATATCGCGTCTGCAATTCCGACAGTCTCAGTCCGGATCCTGGCTATGTTTGGGGAAACGGGGGGTGACGAAATCTTATCGCGTAGAAGTATGAGGGTAAGTCGGGTTGCATAGAAGGTTGCGGCTGTCAGAGCAGTAAAAGTGTCAGGAAGCATTAGCGACGGTGATTTGGGAGCGTTGGAGGAGTTTGTTGCTAGAATAGATGTTGACATGTCTGCATTCACAATCTGGGCAATAGGGTCAGCATAACATAGGTGAGGATAACGCTCAGCCCAGTCGTCAATATCCCGAAGAAGCTGTTTTGTGCGTTGTCGGGTAGGCTGTAGATCAGCACTATGCGGAATCGGTCTTGAGAAGAAATCGGCGAGGCTGCCGCTCCTTCCACAGAGACCTATACATGCTGGGATAGCAAGGAGGATGTCAGTCAGGCAGTGGTGCGCATTTTTCGGATGTACGATGAATGGAAGGGTCAGCCATTCCGGGGTAGATAGAGGAGATGGTCGATTGAAGATGAGAGACTTGTGAGCCTGAGAAGAATGAGCAGACGTAACCAAGTAGGCATTAAGCATACGCTTACATCAGAGACCCGCATTGCCTTGAACAACTGTAATGACACGCCCGAGCTACAATTGCTAGGGCCCCTCATCTGGAGAATTTTCGTCGCTGCTGCCAGATGGTGAAATACACTAGTTGGGGTAGTACCAGCATACACTTCATACAACCCTAGGATGATCGGAACCAGGACGGCGTCATCGCTTGGAATACTGTTTCCATCGAGGCTCGAAATTGATTGGCGCTGGTAGTTGAGTCCTTTCATGTACCACCGGTATGAATCCGTCAAAACAGATACGTCTTGGTGAACTTGTGAATAGAAGGCCATTGATGCAGCACGTATAGATAACCGCAATGCCGGTTTGATCGAATAGTTGTGCAGGTCCGGTACCCTACTGATCCAAGGAATCCCTGCATTCTGGGATCGCACTCCTCTGTTAAGTTCGACAAAATGTGAAATGAAGGCGGTGTCAAAAATATCTTGTTGGGACGGTTGAAAGAGCATTGGCAATTTGTACCGCCACCGAATTGCCGTGAGGGCATCGTCGCCTTCTAGCGTAGGTCTACTGACAACGACTGGATTCGGATTGGGAACTACGGCAAGTTGCAAAGTTGATGGAGAATCAATCCGATCTAGATTGCGCACCGCCAGATTCGTAATGGGCTTTTCCTTGATGACATCCTCGCGAATCAAGGCTGAAGGTTTGGGATCTCTCTTTTTCCGTTGCCGTGGTTTAGTGACCTTATCTGTCATGTCTATAATCACGGAGCCTTGCACTGGCCCGGAGCACTTCAGTCCTAGCCGTCTGCATTGCTGACAGACTTCAGGCGTTTCGTCGCACTGAATGACGGTCGCTATTAACATGTGCCTATAGAACGATTGGTAAATGCTTACCTTCACCCGGCGGTCCCGGCATTGGTTGCAGGCTCTGCTGCGCTGGGCTTTGGGCCGCATGGTAAAGATGGGGAAGCGGAAAAACGGGCGGGAGAAGAGGAGGGGAAATTTGCACGACGTGGGCGGCACACATGTTGTTCAAGCGTGAGAGCGCGCGCTTCAGGGGTCTTCTTGGCTGTCTCGTTGCGGTCCGAATGTGTGGCACTAGGCGCGTTTTCGGCCTAGTCGTGGAGATTGTGGGGACTGATGGGCGAACACATCAAACCTCGTCCAAAAACCCTCTCTGGAAAGCTTCGACGCAGGAATCATCATGAAAAGATAGGAATGTCTATAGAGAATCACGCAGCCAACGACCCTTATTGAGCACCTCTTGATTCTCCCTTCTTTCATCCACTTCATCCGCAATGTATCCACTCTCTTAATCGATATATGCGTTGTTCCCAGTCAGTCACCCATTCGACACGTTGCATCGCTTCTGTCTTGACGATAGCAATAAATGGCATCTTCAGCATCATAATCAAGGTTACGGTTACACAAGATGAGTTTCTTTCTTTTATTTCAGCAATGAAATGCTTACTTTCTACTTCCTGCGCTCCTCTCTCATACTCTCAGCAGGGAGGAACATGGTATAAACCTGGCCGGGATAGTTACAATTATTGCGAGGCCTTCTATATCCCACTAACCTCACATTTCCACTGCTGGCAACGATCATCTCCCGAGCCGTCCAATTCAAGCCGGAGCAATTGGATAGTACGGTCGAATATTACTCGCCACGCACTAGACTCCGCATTCGCATTATTCAAAACTATAGTCCCAAGGATTGAGATGCCCTGGTGGATGTATGTAACTTTTCAGATCTGATTATTTCGTAGCCATCTGGCTTGCCTTCTGCTCCTGCTCGGTGGCTGCGGCTGCATTTCATGCCTCACCTACGAAACAGGAGGATTATACTTGTATGGGTTTCTTGACGGGACCAAATTCAGCCCTAGCGCACTCGCTATTCACCTTTCGGCATTGTGGCTGACTGTTAAGGGAAATTTATCTTAGTCTGTGTCTTGTATGTGGAAGAACATGGGCCATGTATGAGGGACTCAGAAAGAAAGGCAAGCTTTTGGAAAGAGAACCGACCGAGCCCACATGCGCTTGGATCGAGATGGGAGATAGTGAACGCCGAGAGGAGCCGAAAGAATGACCTGCTGATGGGCTGTAACAAGCACTTCTTATTAGACGCCCAGGACTTCTCACAAATATCGTCTACAAGAAGAGTTGACAAAAGGTTCAGATAGGAAAGAGCGGAAGCGACGTCACTATCCACTTAGGGGCGTCGAACATTATTTCAGGTGTTATTCGAGGTGAATGTTGCGATCGGATAGGTCACTTAAGTAATAACGCACTGCAACGGTGACCATGAGAGCTTTCTGACCGCATCACTTTTACAACGCACAACCCTCCACTCCATCCACGACACAAGGACCCCCCATGCAATCTATCCCCACTCCAGTCCCACTCAACACTATATTATCCCCAAGCCTGGACAAAAGCCATTCTGACATTGCTTCAGACTTAGAATACTCATCAGCCACCTCCACAACCGTTGGGAAACGTTCAGACCGCAGCTAACGCAGCTCGCCATACAAATTAAGCTACGATCAGGAAGACTTCCACCTTCAGGGATTTCGACCTACTATATGAGCTTGTAGGGTTGTCGAAGCTGTGTAGTATATGTTATGCGCACCGTGTGCTTCGTCAATGATTTAACTGCGGCACAAAGAAGAGAGCCGAGACTGGGTAGCATGCGAAGGTGCTACAAGTAGAGGATGTAGGGGCAGCGATTGGTCACAAACGACAGGATCCTACTGCGTGGGTGAACAAAGCTAAACTAGAGCTTGGCTACATGCAGCTTGCCGATTACTTGCTGCGCCCCTCCGGACTGGACTTTACCACTTCTGGAGTTATATCCAAGAATCTGTCCTCGGATGATTGGTCTGCTAGCGGAAGATTGTTGACATAAAATACGAACGAATTGGCGACTGTAGTCTCAAACTTCTTTACGAGCGGACTCCCCACCGATCCCTTCTCATCTACGAATGTGTTTCTCCACTCTCTCTCTCTGACGAGCATCTTGTCCATATTCGGACCCAACGAAATCTCGATAAATGGCCGAAAAGACGCTAAGAAGCGCTTCATCGCCTGTCGCTGTATTACTAAAGCTTTCGAGGGTCAAGTCAATGGAACCTCGGGGAGGCGCGAGGTAGTCCCTGCCGAGGTCGCTCCTTCCAACATTGGAACTCTCCCAATGACTCTTCTTTCCCTTACGATCCTGACTGTTGTTTATCCACCAGGGCTCTTGTTACCCCCACAAAGCCTTACAAAGGTACATCATGCCCGACCCTTACTGTGAACCTGCTACCGTCTATATATCCCCCAAGGAGAAGCTTGGGTGGCTTGAGTAGAGGAATGGAGAAACCTGGATAACGGGGGATTCTGAGAAAATGACAATCTTAGAAGAGAGTAGAATTACAGCATGTCAACGTTACACCATGGTGGGGAACATAAGTAGATTAAATTCTATCGGTTAACCCACACGCTTGAATTAAGAGGACCACCAGCAGGATGCTCGCTGGAGCGTAAATATTTTCCTTCTAAGGAATTTTGCGTTCCCGACTTACTACCACTCCGGCAACGAGGCTGGATAGAGTTGGCTTCATAATGTGCTCCAATCTTCGTGACTAGGGAAGATATCCATAATCTTCATTACGTAGAACTGCGTTAAACTCGTGCTCAATGCGTGGCTTAGAGGAGCGTGTCTGAGTCTTTGTTTGCAGACGTTCTAAATAAGATTGATAATGGTAGGCAGCTGCGAATAAGGAGTGGAAGTTTCGTGAGCGGATACAGCCGTCATCTGGACCAAGAGGCATATCTTAGAGAGTACTACGTCTGCAGTCGAATGGAGATAGAAAGAGTCGGAAAGATGACCCTGCTCCTGCTAGAGGTGCTCTTTGGGTAACCTCACACCCATTCTGACAGTCTTACTCGCTAGTACGAACCTATGGTTGATTTGGTCTTTTGCACCATCTGCTCTTAGGTCTTGATACTCGGCGTCGGCGACCCATTTATACTTCCCTTCAAGGTGCCACTTCTTCTCCACTCAAGCCCACTCCAAATCTGCGACAAACTTCTCCTCGTCTTCTTCATAGCCTTTTCTAGGGCTGCCGCTCGTTCTTCGTCAAACTCTTTCAAAGCGCCTCCCGTTACACCCTTAATATCAACACCCCAGCAATTCGGCCTATATTTAACAAACAACTCAGCAGTACTAAACCAGAAATCAAGCTTTTGGGGGTCTATTCTAGAGGTTGGTGGTCTAGTTGGTTGCGAACGACGAGATAGCAAAGCCTTGGAGTTTCTGCGTTCATGGAGTTTTGGAGATTGCTGGTTCGAAGCGCTCTTGATCTGGCCTTGGAGGTGCATCCATGGCGTTCCTCGATATGAGTCTATTCGATGGGGGTCGTCGCCATACTCTAAAAGGAGTTCTATCATCCGGATTCTGTGAGGATAGTCAATCGGTGGCGGTTTCTGGTCGCTGACTCTGTTGTAGTCTCGTATCACACAATCGAGAAGGGAGCGCGACTCAGGTACTTGTTCGATCGGAGTTCCTTGTTCGATTTTCTTTTTGACGTAGGAGCAAAGAGAATATTGGGCCGTTAGGCAGAGGAAAGAGTGTTTACTTCCTCCTCTAGCTTGCGCAGCGGACCAATGTGAACTTGCCTCGAGCCGGTTTTGCACTTTTTGAGGCACCTTTTGGGTTGGATGCGGTATCCCAATGTGCTGCTTGATAATGTTTCCTGATGGTTCTTTCGGCCAAGGCATGCGTGCTATTTCATCAGCCACCTTATCAAGCTCATCGAGCTCTGTGACAAGGGCATTCTGGGATTCAATCTCACTCAATGCAGCGTAGTGAAGCGAATCTGTAACAGCGGCCCAGAAAATTCTTGTCCTCATGACATTAATGTCGAAGGTCTTCAGGTGGATTATCGAAGCCCGGCAAAGTGCAGCGTATGGATCGAAACTGCTTGAAGCGATGACGCTGTTGAAGGCTTTCCAGATGTTAGGTTTCTTGAGGAAGTCTTTGACGGTTCGGTGCATGTAGTGAACTGTACATGTGGCCAGTGTTTCTACGCGCACTGCCAGCTCATCCTCCTCGCTGATATTGGGCGCTGGATTCACCAGGTTATCGGCTTCAAGGGCTGAGTCATTACTGTCATCTTCAGCGACTGTCCCTGAGCTAGCCACTACCTCCAGCAACCCTTTACAATGGCTCATCAGTCTCCCTTTCATGATTCTGCAACGGCCTTCTTTCTCCTGGAGGCCAAGCTTCTCCCTTCGGAATTTGGTGACGGATGAAGACTTTCCTCCTCCTAGTGATTTTCCTTCTTCATGCGCGAAAGACAGAGTGAGCAGTGTTATTGGAGCATGCGCTGCACGATTCAGTTCGAAGAGCTCGTACGCGTCCTCCTTCAGGTCATCTTCCACCATGTCGATCAATGTTTGGAATAGATCCTCAAGTTCCTCCGGCAGCTCTTGAAGCCGACTTTCCAGTATTTCAATGCGCTTCCTGTTCCTGAGATCACTCAAGATAGCTCGTACGACAAATTGCACCCAGAGAAAGACACCCTGAGACTTTTTCGTGATCTCGTCCACTAGCCTGCCAGCGAAGCTGCTATCTCGCATCTTTAATTCTGCAAAGCCGCTGCTACCATCGAGCTTTGACTGTACGTAATGCTTAATGTCCGGTTCGGTGAGTTCGTGGAGCATTAAATGAGGTCCATCTTTGAAGGCGTCCTCGAAGTCAGGCCAAGGACGACTTGAGAGACAGATCTTGACATTTTTATTGTTTGCCAGCTCCTGTAGAGATGAAACGAGTTCCTCGTGGTTGTCAATACACTCATCTAGGCCATCAATGAGAAAGAAGAACTGGGTACTCTTATCTTGAACTAGCTTTTGGATTACATCGTCAAGCTCTCCCAATCCCCAAGATATAGGAAAGGATCCAAAGAGTCGGTGGATCTCTGCGCGTCTCGGGCAATACCTTGGGATTAGTTCGGTCCGGGTTTTGAAGATTTGGACTAGAAGAGCTTTCAAGAGACTCTCTCTGGACTTATAGACGTCAGAGCCTCCAGACCAGAAATAAAATGATGCTTGGACCAAGGGTGTTTCTCCAGCCCATCTCCGAAGTTCATGCTCTGTCTGCTCGTGCGAGGCGATGTACTTCACGAGTGTGGATTTTCCAGAACCAGGTTTTGCAGATATCCAATATATTCCGGGCACGTCGCCACTGCACAACCATTCTCTAAAGTCGGCCCAAGATCGTGGTTGCGGTCCTTCCTCGAACAGCCATTTGAAGGTTTCATAAAAGGCATCCGAAATTTGGCCATGTCGAACAAACATTTCATCGTACATCAGACTGTCAAGAAAGTATCCAACCGCCTGTGAATCGAGGGAGGACTCCGTGGGAATGGGGGGGAAGGCGTCACCATTCATAATAGCCTCCACAAGGTCCTTTTGCCAACGATCCTTTTCGTCTACTTGCTGTAGGAACTCCTGTCCAATTGGCCTCGCAATCTTGCGTTTTGTGGACTGCTCCTTTGGGCTACTCGGCAGTGATTTGATTTGAGCATATTTTGTTTCCCTGTTTCCTGGTAAGAAGGTATAGGGGTGCGAGAAAGGAAGGACCCTACCTGCCTGAGCTCAACTAAGATATTAAGAATCAACTCCTGTCGCAGCGTGTCCAGTTTCCGTTCAAGATTTTTAGTCTCATCATCTCCCCAGTGGCTCAACAGCGCATGCCGGACACTAGCCCATCTCCGAGACGTACCATGGGCTGTTGGGTTAAGGTTCACTTTATAATTGCTCTTGAGTTGGTCAAGCAGACTGGTGAGATCTGATTCGATTTTGTTACACGCCTCCCGAACATTGAAGATGCCATCCTGGATATCGTTGTCTTTACCTGGCCTCCCTAGGCTCTCGTTCAGCTTCCGTAGGTGATCAGCAACAAGAGCGAGCTCGTCCTTCTTAGAGGTTGAGTTCGATTTGTTAAAAGTAGCAACACCGCGCGTGACAACCTTTGCCGTAAAGTCTATGAACTGTATACACGCAGCAGCAACTGCAAGCGCGGAGAAGGGCTCCATGTGGAAGGCTATTATGTACAATTAAATACTCTGTCGACCATTTAAAGCAAAGGAAGGAGTCAATAGAGAGGCTGGCGGTCTAGGCATGTACTATTTGTAACCAGGGCAAGGCGACTACGGCGCAGCGCTTTCGTGCGGCTTTCTGGCCAGCAACTTTGCGAACCCCACACAGCCCTCTGCCATAAGGCATCTCAACAGGCTTCGTAGATAGCAATTGCTGTTTTAATTGGGGGTTCTTTCGCCTGCCCTTGATCACGGAATGTGGGCCGAACGGCCGGTTGATTTCAAGAGCCAATGGTTTACAGAGGTGGCGTCGCGGGTCAGCCTTCTCGAGAGCACAAGGCTGAGATCAGACGACAGCTGAGAAGGCAGCAGTGAGACGTCGACATCAGAACAAGCAGCTCGCAAAATCGGCTCCATGTTTTATTGCAATAATCCGTAGCTGCAACAAAGTTGACTCCACTTGTGAGCGAAAGTCTTGGCACCTACCCTCACTCACCTGATTTGCTAGTCCAAGAGTAGTTTGAGCTCACAATTCTTTTGCTGGTGCGGGCCGATTAGCCTCCCTTCTAGCGATGGCTTCTTTTACTGCTACTCCTGTCTTAAAATCGTTATATATCATGTCTAGGCATCTTTATCCGCTCCCAATAGAAGCTTATTTCCCCTACCTTCTACATTTTACCACGGAACCTGCAAAGCAATAACTTAATCGCTTGAAGACTTATATCCTTGCTCTCTCTTTATTAGTTACATGAGCGCCCTTGAACTAGATTTCCCCACTTAAACCTCCACTTCTTTAGTCTTCGCATCCTTGATCCATCGAGGGTATCGCACGGTTAGAGCTGATGGATGATAGAGGGCATATGAAGAGGTGCGAGTCGTCAATCAGGTAGTGAGAACCAAACTAGTCGATTGAGCAAAGGCGTAAGGTCTGGTCTCAGGAGCTTGAGGGGGCTCCGAGCTAACTGTATAGCAAAGGACCAAAATGACGCTAGTCTTAATAAAGGAATGCGCTAGTACTAAAACAGTGACTACTGCTGCACTACAGCACTAGCTCATATTGAGGTGAAACACTACGTCATGTGACGTAGTCCCACTTGCTCCAATTGTCACGTGCGACATTGGGTGATGCAAATTTGGCCACGCTAAATTTTTGAGATCTTGAGATTACGCGGACAGGGTTTGCGTCTCCGGATGCATATCTCTCGCTCTCTAGACCTTGTGCACTGTACAACTATTAAAGGGAGGCGTAGTAATAGTTTAAACAACTTAGCGAAGTCGGATGCTGTAAGACCGCTGAGAGTATAGCAATGACAGCCGTAAGAACGAGTGAGAGGATCGAAGACTGGGATGGCCATTATACCTTAACAATCTTTAATACCCTAACGCTAGTACTGCAGCATCGCGGGAAGCACTAGGAGGTAGACGAGCTGAATCGACGCTGAAGTGGAGGGAGAAGGAACAAGGAAAGAGAATCCTGACACGCTGACGAGTGTCCACTGCCTTCCCTTCTTAATAAAACTCTACTATAATTGCGAAGACGCTTTACAACACTACAGGAGGGCCGGTACTGCGTATTAGAAAATACTTAGGCCGATCATCCTTTATCAATTGCACCATGCACAACATTTCAGAGCCTTCCACCCTGTTTTGGTCATTGGTAGTGTCCTAGTTTCTCTCGGAGCCAAAAAGGCTTATTTAGTTAGTCTTGGCGCTAATGTGTTGAATTGAGGGACCGATACAAGGTCCCCGCCCACGAATATGATGGCCACGAATCCTTCAAGATCTTTCGTCCATGATGTGACGCGAACGCTAGAGTCCAGTTGGCAGCGGTTGGGTAAGTTGAATGGTCCTCTCAACTATATTGCGAAGCCTTACACTGGGTAGCCTACCCACCTGTAGGTGACATTCGGCCACCCACCCATGGCAACACTGCCTCGATTAGGTCCAATAAATTCTTCGTCGGCCGGCTAGCCCTTCAACATGTTCATTTTTAAGCTTCCCAGAGGGGGTTCTCTTGCCATCATATTGAAAACCTTCCTCCTCTGCTATTCCAACTTGTTGAATGATGTCACCCAGACCCTCGTGCAAAACTGCACCAGTCAAGGCATCTCACAAAAACTTTGTCCCTAGCAAGTAGCTTCGCAATATAGAATAGTTATAGTGTATTAAAGCCAAGCCACCCTCTTGCCTAGCAAAAGTAATTCCCTCCTCTTAAACCTTATCCCCAAACGTAAAAACATATATCCGTGTACTAGTACTTTCCTATACAGGAGAATCGAAGGAAGGCTCCACAAGCTCCCATTCATGGCTCTCGTGTATATGATCAAAAAATGGCTTGCACATAAAACAATAATCGAAGTCTGGACAAGTGTGACAGTGGAAGCGCGGCCCGTAAATATCTTGTTTAATGTGAGATTTGTTGGTCTACTTCAAGATATCTACTTACATGAAAGCATCCATCGCAAGAATAATTTCTATGGCGAATACCGTAGAGTCGCACGGTATCCGCTCCTATATCTAGCTGAGATTTACAGGGTGTGGAAAGTTCTTCAAGCATCTTTTCGTTTCCATGGAAGATAGAGATAGAGGCAGGGCTCCATTGGCCTTCCGGCTGAAGGATGGTAATACATTCACTGCGAAGTCCTTCCTCAATCAGTCGCTCTACAACCTCAGGCTTCCCGGTCCTACAAGCCCAGTGTAGGGGGCTCCAATTTTCACTCTGCAGTGAAAACGGAAGACCCATATCTAGCACTGCGTTAAGGACCTGTAATGAGCTTGCGGAGGAAGCGTAGTGTAGCAGACTATCCCCTTTTGCGTCCTTATCCCTTGGATTAAAACCCATGCTAATGAGATATTGGAAAGTGTCAATGTGGCCCCCTCTTGCAGCAAGATGAAGAGGAGATCGACCGTGGGGTTCTACAGGATGTCGATTCGCATTGTATTGGTCGTAGGCTAACCTCAGAAGATCTGTATACCCCTTGAAGGCAAGGAAGTGTAACAAGGAGCAATGGCAAAACTTAACGCCTTAGCCCAGGTAATTACTAAGGTAGTAACTCTCTATATAATATATACTAATATGACCTAGAGAGGAGTAGATGC